ATTAACTTCTGGGCCACATCCTGACTGATGACAGCCCATTCTTGCATAATGAATGCTTGGAGTTTGTCAGAATTTGTGGGTTTTTGTTTGTCCACCCGCCTCTTGAGGATTGACCACAAGTTCTCAATGGGATTAAGGTCTGGGGAGTTTCCTGGCCATGGACCCAAATTGTCAATGTTTTGTTCCCCGAGCCACTTAGTTATCACTTTTGCCTCATGGCAAGGTGCTCCAAACTGTTCTTGGATGGTTGGGAGAAGTTGCTCTCGGAGGATGTGTTGGTACCATTCTTTATTCATGGCTGTGTTCTTAGGCAAAATTGTGAGTGAGCCCACTCCCTTGGCTGAGAAGCAACCCCACACATGATTGGTCTCAGGATGCTTTACTGTTGGCATGACATAGGACTGATGGTAGCGCTCACCTTGTCTTCTCTGGACAAGCTTTTTTCCGGATGCCCCAAACAATCGGAAAGGGGATTCATCAGAGAAAAAAGTGCTCAGCAGTCCAAGCCCTGTACCTTTTGCAGAATATCAGTCTGTCCCTGATGTTTTTCCTGGAGAGAAGTGGCTTCCTCGCTGCCCTTCTTGACACCAGGCCATCCTCCAAAAGTCTTCGCCTCACTGTGCGTGCAGATGCACTCACACCTGCCTGCTGCCATTCCTGAGCAAGCTTTGCACTGGTGGTGCCCCGATCCTGCAGCTGAATCAACTTTAGGAGACGTCCTGGCGCTTGCTGGACTTTCTTGGGTGCCCTGAAGGCTTCTTCACAACAATTGAACCTTTCTCCTTGAAGTTCTTGATGATCTGATAAATGGTTGATTTAGGTGCAATCTTACTAGCAGCAATATCCTTGCTTGTGAAGCCCTTTTTGTGCAAAGCAATGATGACGGCACGTGTTTCCTTGCAGGTAACCATGGTTAACAGAGGAAGAACAATGATTTCAAGCACCACCCTCCTTTTAAAGCTTCCAGTCTGTTATTCTAACTCAATCAGCATGACAGAGTGATCTCCAGCCTTGTCCTCGTCAACACTCTCACCTATGTTAACGAGAGAATCACTGACATGATGTCAGCTGGTCCTTTTGTGGCAGGGCTGAAATGCAGTGGAAATGTTTTGGGGGGATTAAGTTAATATTCATGGCAAAAAGGGACTTTGCAATTAATCTGATCACTCTTCATAACATTCTGGAGTATATGCAAATTACCATCATAAAAACTGAGGCAGCAGACATTGTGAAAATTAATATTTGTGTAATTCTCAAAACTTTTGACCACGACTGTACATCTACAGTAATTTACTGGCTTCTGTGCTGCCATTAATTTACTGTATACTGTATGTACAGTAACCTACTGGCTACTGTGCTGCCAGCAATTTTCTGTAAAAATTACAGGAAATGTTTTACGCTTCAGTTTGCTGCCATATGACTGGTTTCACATTTGTCTCCACCGGTCCAAAAGTAAAATCGATCTAAAACAATTGTCATTGTTTTAGACTCTTAACTAGGGTCGGAATTCCCCGCTTAGACACTAACACATGCACACACATACAAACACACAATGCTACACACAGATATCCCAGACAAACACCATCACTCTTCTCGCCTCTCCTCTCGTGTTCTCTCCTCTTCTCCCCCCTCCTCTTTCATCTACTCTACCCTCCTGTCCTCTCCTTTCGTGTCCTCTCCTCCCCTCTCCTATTCCATCTACTCTCCTGTCCTCTCCTCTCCTTCCGTGTCCTCTCCTCCCCTCTCCTATTCCACCAACTCTCCTGTCCTCTCCTCTCCTCTCCTTCCGTGTCCTCTCCTCCCCTCTCCTATTCCACCTACTCTCCTGTCCTCTCCTCTCCTCTCCTTCCGTGTCCTCTCCTCCCCTCTCCTATTCCACCTACTCTCCTGTCCTCTCCTCTCCTTTCGTGTCCTCTCCTCCCCTCTTTCATCTACTCTCCTCTGCCCTTGTCTCCTCTCATTTCCTCTCCTCTGCCCTCCTCTTCTCTCCTCTATTCTTGTGCAGCACATTGTGTGTGTCCTCTTCAATACAATATAAATCCCATAGAGACTGTGAAAAGGGTTAAGGTTGGCTCAATTAAATATCGATTAAATACATAATAATAGTCCTCTGACTATTACCATTCACACTCTACTGCTCTCTCACGGTTGCCTGGATACAGGCCATTTTATTGGTGTGTGTGTGTGTGTGTGTGTGTGTGTTTCAGCATGCGTCCTTATGTTATCGTCATTACTTCAATTATGTGTGTTATCTGTCTGTGATCGCATACAGACACAGCTCATGAATAATTCCATGCGTGTGGAGAAGAGAAACTATATGTTTGTTTACCCTGCAAAACACTTATTGATACACACACACCAGACACACAAACACATACGGCTGATTAATAGAAAGATACAAGTGACAGAATGGAGGAGAAACTCACAGTATGTGACACTCAGCATAATAACACTGTTCACATACACAGGTGTGTGTGTGATCTATGATATGTGACAGTGTGTGACACACTGAGGCTTTGAGGAATGATAAACACACATGCCCTCTAAAAATGCCACCCAACGCAGAGACCTTCCCTTGTGCCAAGCTGTGTGCTTGTATTTCTTCTGCTTCGGCGGATTTACATGCAGTGATTCAGCTTCCGGTAGGACTCGACTGACCCCTTACACACACACGTATGTGTACACATGCACTCACAGAGGCACACAAAAATTCACACTTGTCCTCACCAGGGAGAATACAGCCCATTTCCACCCCACAGAGAGGCATTTAGCGAAGGTGTGAGTCTGGCATAGGAGGGAGGAGAGAGAGGGCGAGAGAGAGAGAGAGAGAGAGGGGGACTGTTTGAAGGACAGAAGAGAGTCTAGTCGAGAAAGAACAAACTGTCTGTGTGCATGAGGACACAGTAGAACACTCTGCCTACAGGGCATGTCATGCACACACATCTCCTCTCCTCTCTCGCTCCCCCTTCTCTCCTCGCTCCCTTCCTAAACACTAACCTTAACCCTATCCTGTCTGTACTCAGTGGGTTTGAAGAACAAAATCAACTTGTTTCTCAGCACGTGTTCAGTAGAGAGCAACTGTCATTACTTACAATCTACCTATTAGGTGTAGGCCTACAGTTGGTTTAAAGTGAGGGGAGCGGTTTATTACATTCATTATTACACAGATCAACAGCACCACACTGTGGTGCATCTGCTTTGGCTCTGCTATCACACAGAGGACTGTCTGCCTCCGCAACTGTGTGTGTGTGCATTGCATGTGAAAGGCTACGGCCACACAGAGACGCATGAAGACGCATGAAAGGGCATGACGCATTCATCAACTCTTTCCGGACGAGTTTCATGCATAAAAACTGACAATTTGTGAGTTTTCTGTCCGACAATCATCTCTGTTGTCCATCATCCATCAATGGATAACATCCATTGAAAAACCATTGGCTCAATCCATAATTTCCGGATGCAAAGAATCTGTGTGGCAGCATCCTTAAAGAGCTAGGAACCACAGAAGAGAGTAGGAGCAGCGTTTATTCCTTTATTGCACAGACACACTCCAAAAAGCTGAGCAGTCATGCATGCATTTAGACCAAAACTACACTAACCATAAATACCGAAACAGAACACATACCAAAATATACACCAAAAAATATAGATGAACACATCCATAAATACAGTATATCCATCTACTTTAGAAGTCTTCACTATAAATAACAATACATTGTCATCACTAAACCACAGTGTGCGTGTTGACAGAGCAGCTACAATAAGAGAAATATAGAGAGAAATATAGAAATGCCACATATACACTGAGTGTACAAAACATTAGGAACACCTGCTCTTTCCATGACAGACTGACCAGGTGAATCCAGGTGAAAGCTATGATTCCTTATTGATGACACTTGTTAAATTCACTTTAATCAGTGTAGATGAAGGGGAGGAGACAGGTTAAATAATGATTTTTAAGCCTTGAGTTTCAAGAACTGCAATGCTGCTGGGTTTTTCACGCTCAACAGTTTCCTGTGTGTATCAAGAATGGTCCACCACCCAAAGGACATCCAGACAACTTGACACAACTGTGGAAAGCATTGGAATCAATACGGGCCAGCAATCCCTGTGGAACACTTTTGACACCTTGTAGTCCATGCCCCGATGAACTGAGGCTGTTCTGAGGGCAAAATGGGGTGCAACTCAATATTTGGAAGGTGTTCCTAATGTTTTGTGAACTCAGTGAACAGTCAATAATAACAATAGGCAGTTTGTGTGTTGTATCTCTGGCTTTAGTTCAATGAATTAAGGAAACGTTTGGGTTAACTCGGCGCAGAAACAGCACCGATCTATGCAAAACATACTAGCAGCAACACACAGGCAACATATTGGTCATAACAATATATGCAGTGAAATATGCTGTTGGGCTTAATCTCATCTTTCATACACATGCATCATCACTGCATATTCACTGGTCTACACCTACAGTACACCTACATATCCTGTTAAAAATACATTATATCATCCATCTGACTTCTAACAGACTATTCACCATCCATCCATCCATCCATCCATCCATCTATCCATCCATCTATCCTCTACATCTAACAGCTAGGGCCATGAGATTTTCCTGATCATGTGACTGACCAGGGAAAATTCCAGGCCCTATTAACAGGCTATTTCGCTCTGCTGGTCAGAGAGAACCTCTCTGGCGTGGAAACCACTGTCTCCATCACCTACATCTTCTACTTCTCTGGTTCATACAGGTTTATCTGTTAGGGTAAGGGGTTGTCTCTGTGTGTGACAGTATCAGTACTAGTCTATGATGATGCGTACAGTACAGAAGCTACTGGCAATGTTACAACAGCAACACCATTACAAAGAGACAGAGCAAGAGGGAAGGGTTGGACTTGTGTGTGTGTGTGTGTGTGTGTGTGTGTGTGTGTGTGTGTGTGTGTGTGTGTGTGTGTGTGTGTGTGTGTGTGTGTGTGTGACTATGCGTCCCTATGTTATCATCATTACTTCAAGCGAGGGTAGAACTCTGCAAGGGTGCTCTGAGGGATTCTCTTCAGCATCTCTTTGGGGAAGATTCTCATCAGCTGCCAGCCGATATCCAGTGTCTCAAACACAGTCCTGTTCTCATAGGCTCCTAGAACAGAGAGAGAGAGATTACACACTCACGCACACACTCAAACACGCACACAGGCAGGCAGGCAGGCAGGCACACACACACAGTCCCCCTGTCCACCCCCCCTATGCCCCAGTGTACCCTGGGCGATGAAGTTCTTCTCAAACTTCTGTAGAAACTCCAGGTAGAGAAGATCATCAGGCGTCAGAGCCTCCTCTCCCACCACAGCCTTCATCGCCTGCACGTCCTTACCTATAGCATAACACGCATACTACACACACACACAATCACAGATGTTTTCTAGCAGAGGTGTCTAACGTTGTTGAGCAGTGTGTGTGTGTGTGTGTGTGTGTGTGTGTGTGTGTGTGTGTGTGTGTGTGTGTGTGTGTGTGTGTGTGTGTGTGTGCGCGTGTATACCAGCTGGTTGGAGACATCAGAGTGGTCTTTGCGTGTCATCCCCTCTCCGATGGCTGACTTCATCAGACGAGACAGCGATGGCAGAACGTTGATGGGAGGATAGATCTAGAGAGAGAGAGAGAGAGAGAGAGAGAGAGAGAGAGAGAGAGAGAGAGAGAGAGAGAGAGAGAGAGAGAGAGAGAGAGAGAGGTAAAGAGGGAGAGAGTCTGAACATCACAACAACACTTGAGAGAATCGATTTGCCAGACACTAGAATCCTGCCAATGCCCAGAGGCGCTTTTGAAGGTAACAGCCACATTGCTGTGTGTGTCTCTGTGGTGTTACTTGTCTGTTGTGCAGCTGTCTGTCCACGTAGATCTGTCCCTCAGTGATGTACCCTGTCAGATCAGGGATGGGGTGAGTGATGTCTGAGAGAGAGAGAGAGCAAGAGAGAGAGGTAAAGAGGGAGAGTGTCAGAACATCACAACATCACTTGAGAGAGAGGAAGAAAGTAAAAGACTGTCCATATTTGAGCAGTCAGGTAAGCAATACATGTGCGTACAGTACCATCGTTGGGTAAAGGGATCTGGGTGATTGAGATACCATCGTTGGCCATAGTGAGTATAGGGATCTGGGTGATCGACATACAGTGCCTTGCAAAGGTATTCATCCCCCTTGGCGTTTTTCCTATTTTGTTGCATTACAACCTGTAATTTAAATGGATTTTTATTTGGATTTCATGTAATGGACATACACAAAATAGTCCAAATTGTAGAAGTGAAATGAAAAAAATAACGTCTCGAAAAATAAATAACGGAAAAGAGGTGCGTGCATATGTATTCACCCCCTTTGTTATTAAGCCCCTAAATAAGATCTGGTGCAACCAATTACCTTCGGAAGTCACATAATTAGTTAAATAAAGTACACCTGTGTGCAATCTAAGTGTCACATGATCTGTCACATGATCTCAGTATATATACACCTGTTCTGAAAGGCCCCAGAGTCTGCAACACCACTAAGCAAGGGGCACCACCAAGCAAGCGGCACCATGAAGACCAAGGAGCTCTCCAAACAGGTCAGGGACAAAGTTGTGGAGAAGTACAGATCAGGGATGGGTTATAAAAAAATATCCAAAAATTTGAACATCCCACGGAGTACCATTAAATCCATTATTAAAAAATGGAAAGAATATGGCACCAACAAACCTGCCAAGAGAGGGCCGCCCACCAAAACTCACAGACCAGGCAAGGACGGCATTAATCAGAGGCAACAAAGAGACCAAAGATAACCCTGAAGGAGCTGCAAGGCTCCACAGCAGAGATTGGAGTATCTGTCCATAGGACCACTTTAAGCCGTACACTCCACAGTGCTGGGCTTTATGGAAGAGTGGCCAGAAAAAAGCCATTGCTTTAAGAAAAAAATAAGCAAACACGTTTGGTGTTCGCCAAAAGGCATGTGGGAGACTCCCCAAACATATGGAAGAAGGTACTCTGGTCAGATGAGACTAAAATTGAGCTTTTTGGCAATCAAGGAAAACGCTATGTCTGGCGCAAACCCAACACCTCTCAAACCGAGAACACCATCCCCACAGTGAAGCATGGGGATGTTTTTCATCGGCAGGGACTGGGAAACTGGTCAGAATTGAAGGAATGATGGATGGCGCTAAATACAGGGAAATTCTTGAGGGAAACCTGTTTCGGTCTTCCAGAGATTTGAGACTGGGACAGAGGTTCACCTTCCAGCAGGACAATGACCCTAAGCATACTGCTAAAGCAACACTCAAGTGGTTTAAGGGGAAACATTTAAATGTCTTGGAATGGCCTAGTCAAAGCCCAGACCTCAATCCAATTGAGAATCTGCGGTATGACTTAAAGATTGCTGTACACCAGCGGAACCCATCCATCTTGAAGGAGCTGGAGCAGTTTTGCCTTGAAGAATGGGCAAAAATCCCAGTGGCTAGATTTGCCAAGCTTATAGAGACATACCCCAAGAGACTTGCAGCTGTAATTGCTGCAAAAGGTGGCTCTACAAAGTATTGACTTTGGGGGGGTGAATAGTTATGCACGCTCAAGTTCTGTTTTTTTGTCTTATTTCTTTCACACAAAAAAATATTTTGCATCTTCAAAGTGGTAGGCATGTTGTGTAAATCAAATGATACAAACCCCCAAAAAATCAATTTTAATTCCAGGTTGTAAGGCAACAAAATAGGAAAAAGCTAAGGGGGGTGAATACTTTCGCAAGCCACTGTACCATCGTTGGCCATAGTGAGTATAGGGATCTGGGTGATCGACATACCATCGTTGGCCATAGTAATTATAGGGATCTGGGTGATCGACATACCATCGTTGGCCATAGTGAGTAAAGGGATCTGGGTGATAAACATACCATCGTTGGGCATAGTTAGTATAGGGATCTGGGTGAAAAACATACCATCGTTGGGCATAGTTAGTATAGGGATCTGGGTGATAAACATACCATCATTGGGCATAGTTAGTATAGGGATCTGGGTGATAGAGCCGTTGCGTCCCTCCACCCGACCAGCTCTCTCGTAGATGGTGGCCAGGTCAGTGTACATGTAGCCTGGGAAACCACGACGACCTGGGACCTCCTCTCTGGCCGCTGAGACCTGAGAGGTGGGGGGGATGACATTTAGTTGTTATCATTGATTTAATGTGTAATAATGTTTATGTTTGCTGTGGCGATGTCTCACCTCTCGTAGCACCTCAGTGTGTGTGTGTGTGTGTGTGTGTGTGTGTGTGTGTGTGTGTGTGTGTGTGTGTGTGTGTGTGTGTGCATTTATGTGCGTGTGTGCGTGCGCACATGCATGTGTGTTATACCTCTCGTAGCGCCTCTGCGTAGGAGCTCATGTCAGTCAGGATGACAAGGACGTGCTTCTCACACTGATAGGCCAGATACTCTGCTGATGTCAGAGCTAGGCGGGGCGTGATGATACGCTCTATACTGCAGAGAGAGGGGGAGGGGCTAAGATGTTAAAGGCAAGAGGTGAGAGGTCACCAATGAAGCAGGGTTTCCATTAGGAAAATGTGGCGCAGGACAATGTGACCAGGCAGATTTTTATTTACCGGCCATTTGAGACATTTACCGGACCCATATGCATAGTAACCAATTAGGGCAGTGGTAGGCAACTAGATTCAGCAGCGGGACGATTTTTGTTGGAAGAGATGGTCGGGGGGCCGGAACATAATTATGATAATTTGTGTGCACTGCAAATTGACCACAACTAGCCCAAAAATAAATTGTATTTGAAAATAACAATAATTTCATACCTTGATTACATTGAGACACGATTATATATGTATCTTTTTTTATTCGTGGGAATACAAAATGTAACACATTTTTTGATGAATTCCTGGTAATTATACAGTCTTTTTCTTTAACCAAAAACGCCTGTTGCCGTCCCCTGCATTAGGGGGTACCCACAGTGCTCAGAATGACAGAAATCACATTTCGATTATGGTAGTTCATTTTAACAGAACATGCAACTCCTGTAATGAAGCAGCCAATAAAACATCATTTTCAAACATTTGCCAAAATGCAATTAGCAGGAAAACACCATTCTAAACATTTTAGTCATTAAGCAGACGCTCATTTCAAGAGCGACTTATAGGATAAATTAGTGTTAAGTGCCTTGCTCAAGGGCACATCGACAGATTTTTCACCTGGACGGCTCAGGGATTCGAACCAGCGACCTTTCCGTTACTGGCACAATGCTCTTAACCACTAGGCTACCTGCACCTGATACAATTGGTTCCATATGTGACAGAGATGAAAATCTCTGTTAGACACTTGGAAAGAGGGGGACTATAAAGATGCAACAACAAGGTTGCTAATATGACTAGGATTGTGCCTTTGGCATCTGGACAACGAAAGAAAGTTGATGTGAAAAGAGCAGGAAAGAAATGCTGGTTTCAGTGGCATATGAGGAAGTGTTTATAAAATAATTGCCTCCACGTTTCTAGGGTCAGATTTTGCCTAGGCTACTTCGAAGCAAGGCAAAGTGGTGCTTGAGGCGCTGATACCCCAGCCAGGTCACCCATGATACAAGTCAGTATTCGACATTCATCTATGTCTGAGGACGTAGGGGCAAAAGCGAGCACTGTTACCTTCAAGTAGGTTTCAGTTTGGCTAGGTCATTGTGGATGGGGATGGCGGATGGGTGTAAACATCTGCCCCTGATTCCAAAGATGGCAAGTTCAAATCCAGCGATAGAAAGTTATTTGTTTTAAGCCTATCCCAAACCTTACCTTAACCATTCTGAGTTAATGCCTAAACTTAACCTAAACACTTAAACATTTTACGTTTGCAACAACTTAGAAATGTGACATTTGAGAAACATGGATGAACGTCTAATTCTGAAGTGACACTGTGAGAGCTAGTTGGATACCCTGCCTACTGTTGCCTATGAACTGAATGGCAAATGGGAGGCCATTAAAACGCAATTGCATTTAGAATTGTTGCACAATGACTGGGCTTATAAAAGCATGTTTCACTCCAGCAGCAACTTGCTGAGGAGTTGCAGCATCAGCTCTTCCGCTCAAAATAAGCTCTGTATGCTGTGACGTGTGATAAAGAAGATACATGATGACTAACGAAAATACACTAAATGTAGCTAATTAACCTATAAACAAATAAGTATGTCTGTCAACTGTATTTACATCAACTGATATTTCCATCAATGAATAAAAAGCATTATTTTGCAATGGGATTGTTTTTTCTCCCGGTCAATTAGGCTGGCAACAATTTTATTTATCAGCTACTAATTTTTTTTATTGGCCAAAAACAGGCATTTACCGGCTAACGAAAACCCTGCAATGAAGGTTAATTGGGCAGGTTGAGGAGCAGGTGAGATGAGGGTAGAGTTTAAAGGTTAGAAGTGACCTACGTGGGGTCATTGGCCAGGTTGAGGAACAGACAGACGTTGTCCATGGAACCATTCTCCTCAAAGTCTGACTTGAAGAACCGAGCTGTCTCCATGTTGACCTGGGGTAAAGGGTTAGAGGTCAAAGGTTAAATCTGGAATCCTTCATTGAAACAATAACAAAGCGGTCACCCTGTAGTGGGGTAATATTTGATATGTGTATATTATATATACACTACATGAACAAAAGTATGTGGACACCTGCTCGTCAAACATCTCATTCCAAAATCATGGGCATTAATATGGAGTTGGTCCCCACTTTGCTGCTATAACAGCCTCCACTCTTCTGGGAAGGCTTTCAACTAGATCTTGGAACATTGCTGCTGGGACTTGCTTCCATTCAGCCACAAGAGCATTACTGAGATCGGGCACTGATGTTGGGCGATTAGGCCTGGCTCGCAGTCGGTGTTCCAATTTATCCCAAAGGTGTTCGATGGGGTTGAGGTCAGGGTTCTGTGCAGGCCAGTCAAGTTCTTCCACACCGATCACAACAAACCAATTTCTGTATGGACCTCGCTTTGTGCACGGGGGCATTGTCCTGCTGAAACAGGAAAGGCCTTCCCCAAACTGTTGCCACAGAGTTGGAAGCACAGAATCGTCTAAAATGTTGTTGTATGCTGTAGCGTTAATATTTCCCTTCCCTGGAACTAAGGGGCCTAGCCCGAACCATGAAAAACAGCCCCAGACCATTATTCCTCCTCCACCAAGCTTTACAATTGCACTAGGCATTGGGGCAGGTAGTTTTCTCCTGGCATCCACCAAACCCAGATAAGTCCGTCAGACTGCCAGATGGTGAAGCGTGATTAATCACTCCAGATAACGCGTTTCCACTGCTCCAGAGTCCAATGGCGGCGAGCTTTACACCACTCCAGCCGACGCTTGGCATTGCGCATGGTGATCTTAGGCTTGTGTGCGGCTGCTCGGCCCTGGAAACCCATATCATAAAGCTCCCGACGAACAGTTATTGTGCTGATGTTGCTTTCAGAGGCAGTTTGGAACTCGGTAGTGAATGTCGCAACCGAGGACAGACGATTTTTACCCGGTACGTGCTTCAGCACTCGGCGGTCCCATTCTATGAGCTTGTGTGGCCTACCACTTTGCGGCTGAGCCATTGTTGCTCCTAGACATTTCCACTTCACAATAACAGCACTTACAGTTGACCGGGGAAGCTCTAGCATGGCAGAAATTTGACGAACTGACTTGTTGGAAAGGTGGCATCCTATGACGGTGCCACTTTGAAAGTCACTGAGCTCTTCAGTAAGGCCATTCTACTGCCAAGGTTTGTCTATGGAGATTGCATAGCTGTGTGCTCGGTTTTATACACCTGTCAGCAACTGGTGTGGCTGAAATAGCTATATATAGTGTACCTCACATGCGACTCGTAATAAGACTATGCAATTAGCCTATTCAAATTGTTATCTTTATCTGGCTCTATTTAACATTATAATAAAACCACGTGCAATCAAATATTATTCATTTAGCTAACTGAGATCAAGGAATGAGCATGAGAAGTGAATATCAAAGCAAGCATCATTTCATAACTTCGCAAAACAAATGGATTCACATACAAGGCATAAAACTTAAGTTACAAGGCAATACTGACATTAACAAAGCATCATTGTAAGCATATACACTACCAGTCAAAAGTTTGGACACACCTACTCATTATAGGGTTTTTCTTAATTTTTACTATTTTCTACATTGTAGAATAATAGTGAAGACATCAAAACTATGAAATACCACCTATGGAATCATGTAGTAACCAGAAAAGTGTTAAACAAATCTTAATATATTTCATATTTGAGATTCTTCAAATAGCCACCCTTTGCCTTGATGACAGCTTTGTACACTCTTGGCATTCTCTCAACCAGCTTCACCTGGAATGCTTTTCCAACAGTCTCGAAGGAGTTCCCACAATGTAGAAAATAGTAAAAAATAAAGAAAAACCCTTGAATGAGTAGGTGTTCTAAAATGTTTGACCAGTAGTGTAGATCCTCAGGTTAACATACAAAACAAAGCATGAACAAAGAGATGCCTTCTAGGCCAGAGAACTAGAAAATGGGAATTGATCATAGAACCTTCCAATTGACAGGATACAGGATAAGAGAGAGAACAACAGACCTTCATTTCATTTATAACATCTGAAGGTGTAAAACCAACCACCATTGTCCAATCAAACGATACCAAGTTTACAGTAACCTGATAATTTAGGCCGAATCTCCACAGGGTGTCACAGCATCTAAAGGCTTGTGTGAGGGATGAGACCAAAGTAAATATGACAGAATTCCTGAGAGGACAATAAAACTCCTTTGCATAGAGTAATTTATAGTTAATCCTGTACAGATACAAGTTACAACAGAGATCATACATCCATATAGATAGCACCAGAGTTATCCTCAGTGAACAAGTTTCAGATAGATACCAAACATGAATACTATAGCATTATTCCATCACACATTCAATAGTCAGTCCTCTGGATACTGTAGAAAGTTGCATTAGGGCCGAGCCTACAACCCCGCCTGTGTTTTGGTATAAAGCTGAGGGATGGGCCTGGAGAAATGTAACCACTCTCACATTCAAAATGAGAGCTATGTATGCAAGGACTGACCATCCATGATATTAAAATAATGGTTTTAACCATGTTTTGAGGTTATACAAGGCTTGTTTATATTGACTTTGTTTATAAACATTGGAGTATAACAAGCTTATATTTTGGGTTCTGATGGGGTACGACAGTTGAACTAAGCTTGTGAAAAAATCAATGGCCATATATCATTAATTTATATGTCCAAAAATGGATGTAGCAACTAAGGATTCTAGCTTTAAAGCAGGGGTTCCGAAACTTTTTTCCTCCACGACCCCACTTTCATATGTGAAATTTCTCGTGACCCCAACGATGTGGAAAAAATTATATAATTAACAGACAATGTTTACTTTTTTATTTGGGGCTATGACGGTAAATTGCAAATTAGTCTGACATAATGTCTCTAATACCGTGTTCAAAACAACTGGGAACTTGGAAATCTCTGACTTCCGACTTCAGGGAGTTCAAGACAACTGGGAACTTCGAAAAAAAACTAGCTCAGACTGGGACAACTCATTTTTCAATGGTCATCCAACTCAGAATTCCAAGTCGGGAACTTGGGCCTCTTTCTAAAGCTCCGACTTTCCAACCTGAAGATCACTGACGTCATGGTTTGACCTCGTTTTATTCCGAGTTCCCAGTTGTCTTGAAAGCACCATTATGACACCACCACTAATGAGATGTGTGTGCTTGATGCATGGCACGTCAGGCTCAGCCAATCAGAATGAGTTTTCCCTCAGACAATCCCTCCGGTGAAGAAGCCGGATGTGGAGGTCCTAGGCTGGCGTGGTTACACGTGGTCTGCGGTTGTGAGGCCGGTTGGACGTACTGCCAAATTCTCTAAAACGACGTTGGAGGCGGCTTATGGTATAGAAATTAACATTAAATTATCTGGCAACAGCTCTGGTGGACATTCCTGCAGTCAGCATGCCAATTGCCTGCTCCCTCAAAACTTGAGACATCTGTGGCATTGTGTTGTGTGACAAAACTACACATTTTAGAGTGGCCTTTTATTGTCCCCAGCACAAGGTGCACCTGTGTAATGATCATTCTGTTTAATCAGCTTCTTGATATGCCACACCTGTCAGGTGGATGGACTATCTTGACAAAGGATAAAATGCTCACTAACATTTGACATTTTAGTCATTTAGCAGACGCTCTTATCCAGAGCGACTTACAGTAGTGAGTGCATACATTTTCATACAAACAGGGATGTAAACAAATGTGGGCACAAATCTGGGCGAAATAAGCTTTTTGTGCGTATGGAAGATTTCTGGGATCTTTTACTTCAGCTCATGAAACATCAGACCAACACTTTACATGTTGCATTTATATTTTTGTTCAGTATATACTAGGGGTGTAACGATTCGTTTGAACAACGATTCGATTTGTATCACGATTCGTGGTTGTCGATACGATTCAGTAACAATATTGGTTCATTTAGAACGATACGATCCGAAACGATTCAGTGACTTGAAATCGATTCAGTAACCTTTTAGCCAAAAATTCAACCAGTGTGACTGAAATAAATACCTGGATACTGGACAGTGCAGGTGAAGTTTCCTAGATTCCTGTTTCTTGTAAGGACCGCAATGGTGGCTTGATAATTTCTCGCTCGTCGGCTTCTCCTCTGTCGTCCGCCATGCTATGTTTTGTTGTCTTTGCGCCTTTGCGCTGCTGCTGGCGCGGGGCGATGACGTCACGGATAGGCAGACTGAATCGAGTAATGTTTAAAGCCTTTATCATTAAAAGTGCTAAGAAAAAACATCCATATAAAGTCTGACGTGCTTAAATCCAATGGGTTATTTCCTAGTATTGATACAATCGATTTATTACATTTTAAAACGATGTTAGATTGATATATGTTGTCCAAAAGGCCAACTCGCCGAGCACAGATCGATGTAGTTGGATCATAGGAATATAAATCGATACATCGATGTAGTAGATGGATCGTTACACCCCTAATATATATATATATATATATATATATATATATATATATATATATATATAAGAAACATTGATTTGAACTGACTGGTAAAGAAATGCAAACACATAAAGGTCCAACGCTGTCACGCCCTGACTCTAGGGACTTGTATTTGTTGAGTCAGGGTGTGTATTTTCTGTGTTGGTTTGTCTATGTTAGTTTCTAGATCGTTTAGATCTATGTTGGCCAGGGTGGTTCCCAATCAGAGGCAGCTGTAGCTCGTTGTCTCTGATTGGGGACCATACTTAGGTAGCCTGTTGGCACTAGTGGGGTGTGGGATCTTGTTCCGTGTGAGGTATGTTATTTGTCTACCTTGGACTTCACGTTTCGTTTGTTGTTTTGTCGTGTGTTTAGTCATTAATAAATATGAATGCATATCACGCTGTGCCTTGGTCCTTCTCGTCCGTAAACGATCGTGACAGAAGATCCCACCAATCCTGGATCAAGCAGCGTGACGAGGACAGAGGATGGACTTGGGAGGAGATGAGCGAGAGTCTGGCAAGAGGGATGGAGGCCATGATCACAGGGGAGAGACAAGCCCAAACATTTTTTAGGGGGGGGGGGCTCACGCCGTGGACGATGAGGCAGCAGGAGGCCGCGATAGAGCGGTTCAGCCGTTTTGCAGAGGAGGCCGCCAGATTAAGGGGGTCATTGGTTCAGAGGGAACAGAAGGAAAGTGTAGAGGCACGGCGAGAGGAGCTGGTTAGGCAGCAGAAGGAGCGGGGGTTAATGAAGGAACCCAAATCCTTGTTGGCAATCACAGAGGTCAGACATTTCTTGTAGTTGGCCACCAGGTTTGCACATATCTCAGGAGGGATTTTGTCCCACCCCTCTTTGCAGATCTTCTCCAAGTCATTAGGGTTTCGAGCCTGACGTTTGGCAACTCGAACCTTCAGCTCCCTCCACAGATTTTCTATGGGATTAAGGTCTGGAGACTGGCTAGGCCACTCCAGGACCTTAATGTGCTTCTTCTTGAGCCACTCCTTTGTTGCCTTGGCCGTGTGTTTTGGGTCATTGTCATGCTTGGAATACCCATCCACAACCCATGTTCAATGCCCTGGCTGAGGGAAGGAGGTTCTCACCCAAGATTTGACGGTACATGGCCCCGTCCATCGTCCCTTTGATGCGGTGAAGTTGTCCTGTCCCCTTAGCAGAAAAACACCCCCAAAGCATAATGTTTCCGCCTCCATGTTTGACGGTGGGGATGGTGTTCTTGGGGTCAGAGGCAGCATTCCTACTCCTCCAAACACGGCGAGTTGAGTTGATGCCAAAGAGCTCCATTTTGGTCTCATCTGACCATAACACTTTCACCCAGTTCTCCTCTGAATCATTCAGATGTTCACTGGCAAACTTCAGACGGGCCTGTATATGTGCTTTCTTGAGCAGGGGGACCTTGCGGGCGCTGCAGGATTTCAGTCCTTCACGGCGTAGTGTGTTACCAATTGTTTTCTTGGTGACTATGGTCCCAGCTGCCTTGAGATCATTGACAAGATCCTCCCGTGTAGTTCTGGGCTGATTCCTCAACGTTCTCATGATCATTGCAACTCCACGAGGTGAGATCTTGCACGGAGCCCCAGGCTGAGGGAGATTGACAGTTCTTTTGTGTTTCTTCCATTTGCGAATAATCGCACCAACTGTTGTCACCTTCTCACCAAGCTGCTTGGTGAATATCTTGTAGCCCATTCCAGCCTTGTGTAGGTCTACAATCTTGTCCCTGACATCATTGGAGAGCTCTTTGGTCTTGGCCATGGTGGAGAGTATGAAATCTGATTGATTGATTGCTTCTGTGGACAGGTGTCTTTTATACAGGTAACAAACTGAGATTAGGAGCACTCCCTTTAAGAGTGTGCTCTTAATCTCAGCTCGTTACCTGTATAAAAGACACCTGGGAGCCAGAAATATTTCTGATTGAGAGGGGGTCAAATACTTATTTCCCTCATTAAAATGCAAATCAAGTTATAACATTTTTGACATGCGTCTTTCTGGATTTTTTTGTTGTTATTCTGTCTCTCACTGTTCAAATAAACATACCATTAAAATTATAGACTGATCATTTCTTTGTCAGTGGGCAAACTTACAAAATCAGCAAGGGATCAAATACTTTTTTCCCCTCACTGTATGAGTTGGCGAAGGGTACCATGAGTTTTAATGGTTTGAGGGAGACTGCTTTGCTTTATCTTGGCCAGGTCGCAGTTGTAAATGAGAACTTGCATCCATTACTCTGTCTATTTGAGAGTGTATATATTTCTCCAGGCCTATCCCTCAGCTTTTTACCAAAACAGAGGCGGGGTGTCCACTTTGTTATTGTTTCAACTGCTGATTGGCCCTGTAAGGGGCCACGTGTGCGTGTAACCATGTGCGTGTGTGCGTGTGTCTCACCCCCATTGCGGCGAAGACAATAGCGAAGTTGTCATCACTGTAGTCCATCACATCTTTAGACTTCCTCACCAGGCCTGCCTGACGACAGATCTGAGCCGCTATCTAGAGAGAGAGAGAGAGAGAGAGAGAGAGAGAGAGAGAGAGAGAGAGAGAGAGAGAGAGAGAGAGAGAGAGAGAGAGAGAGAGAGAGAGAGAGAGAGAGAGACAGCGGGGAAGAGATGTGGCGAAAGAGAGAAACACGTTGCAGGATATGAAAAAACGACTGTTTCCTTCCTTCGAGGAGAGCCTCAAAGCTCATTTCCCATTTAATCAAACTGAACTAATTAAAATAAAATTATACAAATTAATGAATCAATTTAATTAGTGGATTTAATCAGCACTAGACCCTATGGATGTGCTACTTCAATACCTTCACACAAATTGCCAGGCCATTCAAACAGCTCTTAATGCTGAGGATGGGGGTTAACGGAGGTAGTGTGTGTGCGTACCTCGTTGTGTGGTAGTCCTGCAGCAGAGAAGATGGGTATTTTCTGCCCCCTAGCGATGCTGTTCATGCCATCTATAGCAGAGATCCCTGTCTGGATCATCTCCTCCGGGTAGATACGACACTGAGGGTTGATAGGCTGGCCTGGACACACATGCGTGCGCGTCCACACACAAACAAACAAGTTAACACACACACACACACCACACAAACACAAACACGTTATCATCTCCTCAGGGTAGAAACAACACTATCTTTATATTAATCTCTCAATCTATAACTCTAGATGTGTACCCATGATGTCCAGGTAGTCTTCTGCCATCACTGTTGGGCCTTTGTCGATGGGCTTGCCTGATCCATTAAACACGCGACCTGCAAACAGATTCAGATTGACTGTTCTTAACATGTGTTACTGTATGTGTGTATACAAAAAAAAAAAAATACAGTGAGGGAGAGGTCAACATGTACACAATTGTTAACCGGAGGAAAATGGGGAGGGTCATGCTTTTTTTTCAATTTCAATCAGGGGGAGGGCTTAGTATTTTTGTATTTAGTCCAGGGGAGGGTCATGTAATTTGTAATCGATTACATGTCGTTTTATTATATCTCGATGTGTGCCCGATGCTGCCCCTCATAGCTGATTCTCTGCTGGGCGTGCAATATCAAGTGTGCCTAGTGTGGTCTCAATCAAATGATCCATAGCCTATGCTATAGGCTTAGGCTATATGAAGAGCATGCTCGGAGAAGCACTGGGGATAGTTATATTTCGAAGAAAATGTACTTCCTTCCCAAGTTTTTGCGCTGCTGGGATGGTGTAAAAAAAAGTGTATATAAAAAGTGTATATAAAACGAGGCTACACTGCATTACACACTGCAGTGGATAGGCGATCCCAATCATAAGCCCTGGCCTGCAGTGCTCTTGCTGATGTAAACCCTTTTGTGCTGCCTAACCAATGGCTGTGCTGTGCACCAGTGGCAATTCAGGATGCGAGTCAAAGGCTTCTTCCGAAAAAGAATGTTGTATTTGTCCAAAATGTTCAGTTTGAAAGAGAGAGTGCAAAGACGAGAAGATGAGAAGGAGGACCGGAGGTAAGCTTGCTACTGCTATAATTGATATGAATAAAAACAATATGTCTCATTGCCCATAATGAAGCTATTTACTAGCGTTATTGACCTCACAATAAGCCATATTCGAGTAATTTACATAACTTATTGTACATTACTATGAAGCGGCAGTCGTTGAGAAGGACAAGCAATGGATGCTGAAAGTAGGCTGATTGCAGAAGGCCTAATTCATTCATTTTAATTCGATTTTTGGCTACTAACAACAAGAGGGGCTTTGTGTTGGATCCTATTTCTTCCTATTCAATGAATAAGAGGTAAGCCTACCTGTTTGACAGACAAAGTTATAGTCTACTATCCATAGATTTTGTCCGTCAATTCCTTCAGTCATCATGCACTCTTTAAATATCTCAGTAACCATGTTTCCATCCACAGTTCTTATGCGAGAGAAGAAAAGAAATCGCAACATAATTTGTTTGTTCGACATGATGGAATCTTTTTGTGCCTATTAAAATGAATTATGTGGGAAATGGAAGTGGAAACACTTTTATGCGCAAATATTGAAATAATAACCATCATATCAAAGTACATTTGGAGTCACGCAATGATATGGTGTGTGGTCCTCCCACTACGCCTCGGGACAGCATGCAGTTTATTAGGCTACAGATTAAATCAATTATGATGGACTTCACAGGGTGGTGAAAGTGCACGGTGATGAGCTTGATGTTGCTTTGCAATAAATATCGAGGGTCTTATTCTGGTGACATGATGATCGATGCTTTACTGCCGTCTGATAAATACAAATACTCTCGCTCTTATCCATAATAATCTCATCATGTAGACTAGACAACCAGCACAGCTACCTACACTGTATCTGTAAGCTGTTGGCTAGAGCGCAGGTGCCAAGACCAGAGTAGGCACATCTGCTATTTAACGCAACAGTTTTTGTGACAAAACTATCAGTAGAGTTGAAAATGCGATGGAAACACATTGAACTTTAGATTTTTTACGAAAAAGTATATTTTGTATGCAGTACGTCATCAAGCACTGATTTTTATCCGCAACAAGTCCATTGGTGGAAACATACCACAGGTGGGAAAATGCTAATATTTCAATGAACAAAAATATATACACAACATGCAACATTTTCAAAGATTTTACTCAGTTACAGTTCATATGAGGAAATCCGTCAATTGAAATAAATTCATTAGGCCCTTATCTATGGATTTCACATGACCGGGAATACAGATATGCATATGTTGGTTACAGATACCTTAAAAAAAGGTAGGGGAGTTGATCAGAAAACCAGTCAGTATCTGGTGTGACCACCATTTGCCTCATGCAGTGCAACACATCTCCTTCGCATAGAGTTGATCAGGCTGTTGATTGTGGCCTTTGGAATGTTGTCCCACTCCTCTTCAATGGCTATGCGAAGTTGCTGGATATGGATATATGGTCGGGAACTGGAACACGCTGTCGTACATGTCGATCCAGAACATCCCAAACATGCTTAATGGGTGACATGTCTGGTGAGTATGCAGCCCATGGAAGAACTGGGCCATTTTCAGCTTCCAGGAATTGTGTACAGATCCTTGCGACATGGTGCCGTGCATTATCATGCTGAAACATGAGGTGATGGCGGAGGATGAATGGCACGACAATGGGCCTCAGGATCTCGTCACGATATCTCTGTGCATTCGAATTGCCATCGATAAAATGCAGTTGTGTTCGTTGTCTGTAGCTTATGCCTGCCCATAACATAACCCCACCACCACCATGGGGCACTCTGTTCACAACGTTGACATCAGCAAACCGCTCGCCCACACAACGCCATACACGCTACGCTGTCTGCCATCTGCCCGGTACAGTTGAAACCGGGATTCATCCGTGAAGAGCACATTTCTCCAGCGAGCCATTGGCCATCGAAGGTGAGCATTTGCACACTGAAGTCGGATATGACGCCGAACTGCAGTCAGGTCAAGAACCTGGTGAGGACGACGAGCACGCAGATGAGCTTCCCTGAGACGGTTTCTGACAGTTTGTGCAGAAATTATTTGGTTGTGTAAACCCACAGTTTCATCAGCTGTCCGGGCGGGTGGTCTCAGACGATCCCGCAGGTGAATAAGACAGATGTGGAGGTCCAAGGCTGGCATGGTTACACGTGGTCTGCGGTTGTGAGGCAGGTTGGATGTACTGCCAAATTCTCTAAAACGATGTTGGAGGCGGCTTATGGTATAGAAATGAACATTTAATTATTTGGCAACAGCTCTGCTGGCCATTCCTGCAGTCAGCATGCTAATTGCATGCTCCCTCAAAACTTGAGACATCTGTGGCATTGTGTTGTGTGACAAACCTACACATTTTAGAGTGGCCTTTGATTGTCCCCAGCACAAGGTGCACCTGTGTAATGATCATTCGGTTTCATCAGCTTATTGATATGCCACACCTGTCAGGTGGATGGATTAGCTTGGCAAAGGAGAAATGCTCACTAACAGGGATGTAAACACATTTGTGCACCAAATGTGAGAGAAATAAGCTTTTTGTGCACATGGAAAATTTCTGGGATCTTTTATTTCAGCTCATGAAACATAGGACCAACACGTTACATGTTGCATTTATATTTTTGTTCAGTATAGAATATTCGCATGAAAATCTGTCGCCAATTGGATGAAAACCTAGCTAGTGTCCGTGAAACTTGAATGGCTTGGTGTGTTAAGTTAAAATCAGGGCTAGAATTGAGGGGGTATGTGAGGGTATTGTGGCTTTTGTTAAAGAAAATGGCTAAAAGCATAGGATTACCTCTTGTTAGCTTAAAAATGTTCAAATGGACCTGATTATGTAAAGCGATCTATAACTAAGCTTGCTTTATGCTAGAAACAAGCTGTAAAATAATGGGGAAAGACGTGACTCCAATGCATATGGAATATCTTTGGTTTGACTTTATGATATTCAGAGGCTGCGCTAGAACCTTTTATAGACATTTACATTTACATTTACGTCATTTAGCAGACGCTCTTATCCAGAGCGACTTACAGTTAGTGAATACATATTTTTATTTTTTTATACTGGCCCCCCGTGGGAAATGAACCCACAACCCTGGCGTTGCAAACGCCATGCTCTATCAACTGAGCTACATCCCTGCCGGCCATTCCCTCCCCTACCCTGGACGACGCTGGGCCAATTGTGCGCCGCCCATGAGTCTCCCGGTCGCAGCCGGCTGCGACAGAGCCTGGATTCGAACCAGGATCTCTAGTGGGGCTGAGGAGACAAAACAATTTACTTTTCTTCTGAACTAATGTGTGATTCTGTCACTATCAATTGACTTTCAACATTTCAACAGGCTATTAAACAACATACTAACTGTAAATCAGTCAGGAGCAAGCCAGGTAGCCTAAGAAGGAACAAAACTGTATTATTTAGGCTATATTATTATTATTTCAAGGCTATATCCTGCCATTTAAGAAATCAATTGTGACGCATTTGTTACACACTACAGGCTGGCAGGAGCGCTCAGCATTTCAACAACACATCAACAACAGCACTTTAACAACATGCCTATGAATTTCACATTTTAAATAATTACTTCAAATTAAATAATAATGAAATGAAAAATGTCTTATTAGGCAATAAAGTCATTCTACAGTGCCTTTGAATTCACTTTTAGAAAGACGAGTTTGGCCAGTCTTTGGTTTGAGGATCATGCAGTGAGCTATGCATGTTAATTTAGCCTATATTCCCATGCCCTAATCACAGTCAACACAAATCTATTTTGGAACAACATTATCATGGAATAAAATAGAATAAATTAGAAAATTATAGTTTCCCAAATGAAAAAAAGTTGCAAGTGCCTACCTGATGATTTGCGGCTGCTGTGTTAAAAAACAAATTACTTTTTATTTTGCACTTTTTACCCCTTTTTGTGATATCCAATTGGTAGTTACAGTCCTGTCCCATCGCTGCAACTGCCGTACGGACTCGGGAGAGGCGAAGGTCGAGAGCCATGCCTCCTCCGAAACACAACCCTGCCAAGGCGCACTGCTTCTTGACACACTACTCGCACCAATGTGTCGGAGGAAACACCGTACAACTGGCAACCGAAGTCAGCATGCATATGCGCCCGGCACGCCACAAGGAGTTGTTAGAGCGCAATGAGACAAGGACATCCCGGCCGGCCAAACCCTCCCCTAACTCGGACGACGCTTGGCCAAATGTGCACCGCCTCATGGGTCTCCCGGTCACCGCTGGCTGCGACACACGGGAGGCCCTAAACAAAGTTAATTGATGATGATCAAATACTTTAGTTGTAATTGGTTCTGTTGTGCTCAATTTTTACAGTTGATAGACAACTTTACCACTGTTCCAAACTTAGACTATCCTATTTTTTTAACAATAGCCTGTATAGAAATCAAACATGTCTGTTGCTGCAGCATGCGCTTATTCGTTGTCATGCTCTGTTGTGGTATTAAAAAACAGATTCTGCTTGTCTCCAGTCATGTAAAATAACATAGAATTGCATGAAATGCATTCATAAAAGGATAAGATGATAGATTCATGCAGTGCTTTTATAATAATGGAGATATTTGCACCCCTACCCTTGTCCGCGGTGGTCTGTGAATCCACAACCTTCTGGCTACGTTGCCATGTAATGCTTACAAAACTAAGAACAGTTTCTAAAACTGCACATCTAAGGCTCTGGTCTGTCCTAGGAGGGAGTGTAAATGATAGGCATGTTCTCTGCTATCCACTTGGTTTTTATTACTATTTTGGGTATAGGGGAGGGTCACTTGTTTTTTTTAAGCGTTATGGGAAGGTTGGGTAAAAATATATTTTACTGATGGGTTGGCCATCCAGAGGTCAAATTTTCTCCAGGTATCCCTCTTTATAAATAACGTACAGTCCCTAAGTCCCATACCCAGCATATCTTCAGAGACAGGGGTGCGTAGGATGTCTCCTGTAAACTCACAGCTGGTCTTCTTAGCATCAATACCTGATGTCCCCTCAAACACCTACACACATTCACACACATATGCGAGAGGACAGTTAATACAGGGCTCTTGCGTTGTAGGATTTTGAGACATGATGGGCAAGTCACACACAAACACATACACACTGACCTGCACCACAGCTTTAGAACCTGTAACCTCCAACACCTGGCCACTCCTCTTGGTTCCATCTGGCAGGGTCAGGTGGACGATCTCTGCATACCTGGGGAACTGTCTCACACACACACACACACACAGGGTCATGAGGATAATTTCATCACACCTGGGAAACTGAATAACATGTCCGCTGGTCAGAGACTGGCTGTGTTTTAATACAACATGTTGATTTGAAGATGTACTAATCTGTGATCTCTCACCTTCACCTGGTCCAGAATCACGAGAGGTCCGTTGACTCCAGACACTGTCTTATAGGCTACAGACAGAGAACATAGTTAGTCACACACTACCCACACCCGTTGTAGTAAGAACCTGCAAGTCATGCAACTGCTGCAAAACATTTTGAGGGGGTGATGGTGAAATTCGATTTATTTTAATTCATTAGGATATGATAAACGTATATTTCTCAGCAAACATATGATACAAATTAGTTTCATTAGGAATCGACTTCCCTGAATACTACTACTAGTCATCATCACTTGCCGCAGACTGCGCAACGTTATCTCCTATCGGGCTGTCTGGCTAGCACCGCCGTTCCTGCGTTATTCTCCGGTTTACCGGGCACGATAACTAATAACTCACTCAGGCGCGGCTGGGAGATGTAGTCGCGTTTAACGGCCAGGACGTGCTCCTGGGAGGCAGCCGTCTTGTTGCCGGTAACGGCTGAGGAGAGCTCGTTAACAGCTCCGCTCACCATCCCCTTCAATACCTTCAACGCCATGTTTACCTCTGGATTGGAGTTGGAGCAGAAAAGTCGTGACAGCAGAACTGCGCATGTGAGGTAGCTACGCGGAGGAGCTGACCAAGGTGCTGATTATTCCAAGATTTGTTTTATTATTTCAAGGGGTGTGACATTTGGGCTAAAACGAGTATTATAAACTGGGTGGTTCAAGCCCTGAATGTTGATTGGCTGACAGCCGTGGTAAATCAGACCTGCATACCACTGGTATGACAAAACATGTACAGTATTTAAAATATTTCACACATTTATAGTGAAATTTGATCAAATAAAATAAAAAGTCAAATTGTATTTGTCATGCTTTGTAAACAATGAAATGCTTATTTACGGGCTCTCCCCAACGATGCAGAGAGAGAAATAGAAAAATAATAGAAAAATAATAACACAAGGAATAAATACACAATGAATAATGTTAACTTGGCTATATATTATATAAACTCAATACATTAAGAAATACTTAGGAATGATTACCTGCTGCATTCAAAGATAACCAACCTACAGCACTAGACTAAACTTCACGAGTCATCCTTGTGGTATTGAGAGATAAACATGGTAATGCTTTCACTGATTGCACATAAAGGAATATAGTTCCTATATGATAGAGTGCTTGCTTTGTTATGCAACTGATCTTGTGTCCTTTCTGTCATCCTGTGAACCCCTTTAATTGCTGCTAGCAGCTATATTTCAATTGTTCTGTTTCTGTGATACTCAGAGGCTGAGAAATTGGCAATTGAGCTAATATGACCACAGGAGGTTGGTGGCACCTTAATTGGAGAGAAGGGTTCGTGGTAATGACTGTAGCGGAATTAGTGGAAAGGCATTAAATACATTGAACACATGGTTTGATGCCATTCCATTCGCGCCATTCCAGCCATTAATATGAGATGTCCTCCCCTCAGCAGGCTCCACTGAATCTGACATACTGGTACGACCTAAGGTGGCTGCAGATATGGGCGATATAGGTGCAGGTGCCATCAGACATTTACAGTGCCTTGCAAAAGTATTCATCCCCCTTGGCGTTTTTCCTATTTTGTTGCATTACAACCTGTAATTTAAATGGGATTTTTATATGGATTTCATGGAATGGACATACACAAAATAGTCCAAATTGGTGAAGTGAAATGAAAAAAACAACTTCTCAAAACATTCTAAAAAATAAATAACGGAAAAGTGGTGCATGCATATGTATTCACCCCCTTTGCTATGAAGCCCCTAAATAAGATCTGGTGCAACCAATTACCTTCAGAAGTCACATAATAAAGTTAAATAAAGTACACCTGTGTGCAATCGAAGTGTCACATGATCTCAGTATATATATATATATATATATATATATATATATATATATATATATATATATATATATATATATATACACACACATACATACACACATACATACAATGGGGAGAACAAGTATTTGATACACTGCCGATTTTGCAGGTTTTCCTACTTACAAAGCATGTAGAGGTCTGTATTTTTTTTATCATAGGTACACTTCAACTGTGAGAGACAGAATCTAAAACAAAAATCCAGAAAATCACATTGTATGATTTTTAAGTAAATAATTTGCATTTTATTGCATGATATAAGTATTTGATCACCTACCAACCAGTAAGAATTCCGGCTCTCACAGACCTGTTAGTTTTTCTTTAAGAAGCCCTCCTGTTCTCCACTCATTACCTGTATTAACTGCACCTGTTTGAACTCGTTACCTGTATAAAAGACACCTGTCCACACACTCAATCAAACAGACTCCAACCTCTCCACAATGGCCAAGACCAGAGAGCTGTGTAAGGACATCAGGGATAAAATTGTAGACCTGCACAAGGCTGGGATGGGCTACAGGACAATAGGCAAGCAGCTTGGTGAGAAGGCAACAACTGTTGGCGCAATTATTAGAAAATGGAAGAAGTTCAAGATGACGGTCAATCACCCTCGGTCTGGGGCTCCATGCAAGATCTCACCTCGAGGGGCATCAATGATCATGAGGAAGGTGAGGGATCAGCCCAGAACTACACGGCAGGACCTGGTCAATGACCTGAAGAGAGCTGGAACCACAGGCTCAAAGAAAACCATTAGTAACACACTACGCCGTCATGGATTAAAATCCTGCAGCGCACGCAAGGTCCCCCTGCTCAAGCCAGCGCATGTCCAGGCCCGTCTGAAGTTTGCCAATGACCATCTGGATGATCCAGAGGAGGAATGGGAGAAGGTCATGTGGTCTGATGAGACAAAAATAAAGCTTTTTGGTCTAAACTCCACTCGCCGTGTTTGGAGGAAGAAGAAGGATGAGTACAACCCCAAGAACACTATCCAACCGTGAAGCATGGAGGTGGAAACATCATTCTTTGGGGATGCTTTTCTGCAAAGGGGACAGGACGACTGCACCGTATTGAGGGGAGGATGGATGGGGCCATGTATCGCGAGATCTTGGCCAACAACCTCCTTCCCTTAGTAAGAGCATTGAAGATGGGTCGTGGCTGGGACTTCCAGCATGACAACGACCCGAAACACACAGCCAGGGCAACTAAGGAGTGGCTCCGTAAGAAGCATCTCAAGGACCTGGAGTGGCCTAGCCAGTCTTCAGACCTGATCCCAATAGAAAATCTTTGGAGGGAGCTGAAAGTCCGTATTGCCCAGCGACAGCTCCGAAACCTGAAGGATCTGGAGAAGGTCTGTATGGAGGAGTGGGCCAAAATCCCTGCTGCAGTGTGTGCAAACCTGGTCAAGACCTACAGGAAACGTATGATCTCTGTAATTGCAAACACAGGTGACTGTACCAAATATTAAGTTCTGCTTTTCTGATGTATCAAATACTTATGTCATGCAATAAAATGCAAATTAATTACTTAAAAATCATACAATGTGATTTTCTGGATTTTTGTTTTAGATTCCGTCTCTCACAGTTGAAGTGTACCTATGATAAAAATTACAGACCTTTACATGCTTTGTAAGTAGGAAAACCTGCAAAATCGGCAGTGTATCAAATACTTGTTCTCCCCACTGTATATATACACTGCTCAAAAAAATAAAGGGAACACTAAAATAACACATCCTAGATCTGAATGAATGAAATAATCTTATTAAATACTTTTTTATTTACATAGTTGAATGTGCTGACAACAAAATCACACAAAAATTATCAATGGAAATCAAATTTATCAACCCATGGAGGTCTGGATTTGGAGTCACCCTCAAAATTAAAGTGGAAAACCACACTACAGGCTGATCCAACTTTGATGTAATGTCCGTTAAAACAAGTCAAAATAAGGCTCAGTAGTGTGTGTGGCCTCCACGTGCCTGTATGACCTCCCTACATCGCCTGGGCATGCTCCTGATGAGGTGGCGGATGGTCTCCTGAGGGATCTCCTCCCAGACCTGGTGCAACGTGGCGTTGGTGGATGGAGAGAGACATGATGTCCCAGATGTGCTCAATTGGATTCAGGTCTGGGGAACGGGCGGGCCAGTCCATAGCATCAATGCCTTCCTCTTGCAGGAACTGCTGACACACTCCAGCCACATGAGGTCTAGCATTGTCTTGCATTAGGAGGAACCCAGGGCCAACCGCACCAGCATATGGTCTCACAAGGGGTCTGAGGATCTCATCTCGGTACCTAATGGCAGTTAGGCTACCTCTGGCGAGCACATGGAGGGCTGTGCGGCCCCCCAAAGAAATGCCATCCCACACCATGACTGACCCACCGCCAAACCGGTCATGCTGGAGGATGTTGCAGGCAGCAGAACGTTCTCCACGGCGTCTCCAGACTCTGTCACGTCTGTCACGTTCTCAGTGTGAACCTGCTTTCATCTGTGAAGAGCACAGGGCGCCAGTGGCGAATTTGCCAATCTTGGTGTTCTCTGGCAAATGCCAAACATCCTGCACGGTGTTGGGCTGTAAGCACAACCCCCACCTGTGGACATAGGGCCCTCATACCACCCTCATGGAGTCTGTTTCTGACCGTTTGAGCAGACACATGCACATTTGTGGCCTGCTGGAGGTCATTTTGCAGGGCTCTGGCAGTGCTCCTCCTGCTCCTCCTTGCACAAAGGCGGAGGTAGCAGTCCTGCTGCTGGGTTGTTGCCCTCCTACGGCCTCCTCCACGTCTCCTGATGTACTGGCCTGTCTCCTGGTATCGCCTCCATGCTCTGGACACTACGCTGACAGACACAGCAAACCTTCTTGCCACAGCTCGCAATGATGTGCCATCCTGGATGAGCTGCACTACCTGAGCCACTTGTGTGGGTTGTACACTCCGTCTCATGCTACCACTAGAGTGAAAGCACCGCCAGCATTCAAAAGTGACCAAAACATCAGCCAGGAAGCATAGGATCTGAGAAGTGGTCTGTGGTCACCACCTGCAAAACCAGTCCTTTATTGGGGATGTCTTGCTAATTGCCTATAATTTCCACCTGTTGTCTATGCCATTTGCACAACAGCATGTGAAATGTGTTGTCATTCAGTGTTGCTTCCTAAGTGGACAGTTTGATTTCACAGAAGTGTGATTGACTGTGTGATTGGAGTTACATTGTGTTGTTTAAGTGTTCCCTTTATTTTTTTGAGCAGTGTATATACACATACATACATACACACCCACACACACACACACACACACACCTGTTCTGAAAGGCCCCAGAGTCTGCAACACCACTAAGCAAGGGGCACCATGAAGACCAAGGAGCTCTCCAAACAGGTCAGGGACAAAGTTGTGGAGAAGTACAGATCAGGGTTGGGTTATACAACAATATCCGAAACTTTGAACACGGAGCACCATTAAATCCATTATTAAAGAATGGAAAGAATATGGCACCACAACAAACCTGCCAAGAGAGGGCCACCCACCAAAACTCACAGACCAGGCAAGGAGGGCATTAATCAGAGAGGCAACAAAGAGACCAAAGATTACCCTGAAGGAGCTGCAAAGCTCCACAGCGGAGATTGGAGTATCTTTCCATTGGACCACTTTAAGCCATACACTCAACAGAGCTGGGCTTTACGGAAGTGGCCAGAAAAAAGCCATTGCTTAAAGAAAAAAATAAGCAAACACGTTTGGTGTTCGCCAAAAGCCATGTGGGAGACTCCCCAAACATATGGAAGAAGGTACTCTGGTCAGATTAGACTAAAATTGAGCTTTTTGGCCATCAAGGAAAACACTATGTCTGGCGCAAACTCAACACCTCTCATCACCCCGAGAACACCATCCCCACAGTGAAGCATGGTGGTGGCAGCATAATTTACATTTACATTTTCGTCATTTAGCAGACGCTCTTATCCAGAGCGACTTACAAATTGTGGGGATGTTTTCCATCGGCAGGGACTGGGAAACTGGTCAGAATTGAAGGAATGATGGATGGCGCTAAATACAGGGAAATTCTTGAGGGAAACCTGTTTCAGTCTTCCAGAGATTTGAGACTGGGACGGAGGTTCACCTTCCAGCAGGACAATGACCCTAAGCATACTGCTAAAGCAACACTTGAGTGGTTTAAGGGGAAACATTTAAATGTCTTGGAATGGCCTAGTCAAAGCCCAGACCTCAATCCAATTGAGAATCTGTGGTATGACTTAAAGATTGCTGTACCCATCCAACTTGAAGGAGCTGGAGCAGTTTTGCATTGAAGAATGGGAAAAATCCCAGTGGCTAGATGTGCCAAGCTTATAGAGACATACCAAGAGACTTTGCAGCTGTAATTGCTGCAAAAGGTGGCTCTACAAAGTATTGACTTTGGGGGGGGGGGGAATAATTATGCACGCTCAAATTCTGTTTTTTTGTCTTATTTCTTGTTTGTTTCACACACAAAAAATATTTTGCATCTTCAAAGTGGTAGGCATGTTGTGTAAATCAAATGATACAAACCCCCAAAAAATCCATTTTAATTCCAGGTTGTAAGGCAACAAAATAGGAACAATTCCTGGGGGGGGGGGGGGGGGGGGGGGGGGTGAATACTTTCGCAAGCCACTGTAGCTCTAACTTTGGAGCAATATGGCCTATCAACTGTGTTCCAATTGACCCTTCGCTAAGCCCCAGAATTTTGGCCAACCAATTGCAGAGCTCCAATGGATAGCAACTGTTGTCGAGTCCGACACCTCGGTCAAGCCCACATTTTAAATGCATGAAAGACAGTGAGGGCAGTGGAGAAAATAGTTTTCTTCAAAAATTAATTGTTTAAATGGCTAAAATAATTTAACAATGAACCAGGTGTACTTGCTACTGTGATTACTAATTTAAAAAGGCACGCGCACATCTGAGCTATCTTTTTTGTAAGTGCATGGTAACAGCTGAGTAAAATGAGAAAAAAAAAGGTCTGACGAAGGCCTTGAGGCCGATGCATAGAGCTTAATGAAGACCGGTGATACTTGCAGGAGCAGTGTACGGGTTTCTTATTTTTTCTCATCTTATTCTACAGTGATTCCTGAAATGCAGAACCTGTTGGATTATTTTTCTAATCTGAAATTATACTTTTGTTACATTATTTGCTAGCTCAGCTGGTAAGCTAATTCTGTCTCAATGACCACCAAACATTGCTAATGCTAGCTAGCTAGCCAGCCACTTAATATAACTTGTTTTCTCAAAATGGTTGTTAGCCACGTTACTAATACAACCCCCATCAGGATATGATTGGAGAGCAGTAGTTTGCTCCAAAAGCGGTTGTAGCTTTGACTTTGTGCTGACAGTGAATTCAGAGCCATTCAGTGGCTAGCCACACTACAAAGATAATTTTACGAGGTTCATGTGAAGCAATTGTGATGACAGTCCACCACAACATACCCGAGAGTTTCCTGATTAGCAAGGTGTAGTCTGTGTTTAATTTAATTGTGTATTAAAAACACAGTTTGAGATCATTGTGATGGGATTTCGCGAGTGGTTAGAAGGGGGAATTGGGCTTTATGAAAAAAATGATATCCGAGGTTGCAACAGTATGCAAGGGGAGCGGGGCTTAACAAAGAGGCAATTGCATCTGAAAGCTGAGACTCAACTTGGTATAGAGACATTGGCTATGTTTCCATTAACTTGTCCAGTGATTTTTTTGTCGACATTAAAGTTTGCATAGAAATTATGTGACAATTGCCTGCTGTGGTGTGTTTAAATTTGTACTATCGTGTCGATAAAAACAGCTGGATGTAATGACGCCACACACCGAAAAATGTTCTCAAACCTAATGTCGAATACAAATGTAGTGGTTGAAGTGTTTCCATTACCCATTTAGGCAAATTGCGCATTAATAGATTGGCGACAGCCTGTATGCCCTCCCACTTATCCGTTTCATGTCTCAGGTAGGCCTATAGCTTGCGAAAGCCATAATGTATAGAATGCAATAATTGACTAATATTTGACATATTCTAATCATTCTCATGTGCCAACGTATCACCACGGTCCGTGCCATGGTGAAACTTGCACTCCTGTAGATCTGAAATAGCCTAATTGGATGGTGAAACTTGCCAGCCAACCAGAAAAGCAAGGCGAAGCAATTCAGGCATTCTTGAAAGTCAGGACAATCCTTGTCCTGCAAAGAAAACAAATATATAGTTGAAAAAATGTATTTTGCAAGCAGTAGGCATTTAGAATTAAATGAGTGGAGCTTTAGTTACTCAGTGACAACAAGTGCCCCACGTACCTGAAGAATTATTCAGCAATAATCATTAGAAAAACCCTATTTCCATCATTTCTCTCAATAAAGTTTGACAAAAGAAAAATCCACCCGTCGAATGGATAAAAATGTTGTCGATCTTTAGAAAGTCCTATATCTGCCGTTTCCATTAAACATCGCAATTATTTTTTTGCGACATTGCCTTTATCGAATAAACCTGGGCCAGTGGAAACCTACCTATAGACTGGAAGCTAAATAAGTAATTAAATGTTTTAGTTAATTTTGAGTTTAGTGGCTGCCACGCCCCCCAGGCGCCAAATCTGTAGTGGTTCCATATCTATATCTTTTCAGGGTACAAACATCTACCTCTGTGCCACATTTTGTGCTTTTATCAAAGTACACTATTGAGTCACCATTTTTATTTTAGCCACACCATTAGTATATAAAAGTTAGATTTTTGATTCCTCCATATTAACACAGACATCGCTGTAAATTGTTTGACAAAGTCCTAGAATTTCATAAGGATTTTTTAAAGGTTTTGAAATTGACCTCTGATGGTACTTTCAGGGTTAATATAATCTTAAATTCACCAGGAGACCGAAGTCTTTGCAGCAGTTCAAAAAGTATGGTTTCATTCTTGTAGTTTGAACAGTTGGAACAGACCATGTAGTTTGTTATAAGACATAGTGGCCATACAACCATGAGACAGACCATGTTGTTCCAGCTTCCAATGTTCTTTACTACATTTGATCAAAAACACTCAGAGCAGAAAAGCACATAAATGACAGTCATATATACATACATACATGACCTGCCTGTCATACATGATACATACATGGAACTGAGAGAGGGCATTAACAACTCATGTCTATGTGAAACCAGTCAGTCAGCCAACAGTCAGTCAATCAATAGTCAGTCAGTCATCTTGTTCCCAGGCACTTCCGCTCAAATGCGCGAATAGCCTGGTAGATCAACGCGTCAAACTTGGCCTTCGTTAGCTAATACAGAAAGACCGGGAGAAACTAGAGGTGCATAGGCATTGACTTAATCAGCTTTATCTACAAACCAATCATCTCTCATAACACCCTCCCCCATATGCTAGCACACCACAAGCACAGAGCCACACCTTTCGCAATCGTGTTATTTGCTAAAATAAAAAGACAAATACTTTACTCAGTAAGGCCAACTTTGAATCGTTGATGTACCAGGCTTATATGCGCAATAGCCTTGGGACAAGGTAAGTCAGTCAGTCAACAGTCAGTCAGGCACTTTATGTAAGTGAACTAAGGCCTTTCTCTCAGTCTCAATAGAACACATCTCTCAACTAAAACCTAAAATCGGTTTTTAAAAGCAAATCAAACTATTCAGCCCCCATGGAACTGTAGCAGTCAAACACACCAGGAAGCTTCACCTTTCATTTTCAAAAGTAAAAAGCAAACTAACTGCACACCCCCTCTCTCCTCTCCCCAATTTCCTCTCATCTTTATTTAGTCCTGTCTTTGCTGCGTGTGTGTTTGTGTCGTGGGCGGACTTTCCTCTGTGGGCCACTTATCTCTTCAGAGGGGAGGGAGGAGGCAGACCCTTCAGGCTCATTAGTCCATCCTTTCGGGGAGTAACGGGGGAGAACAGGGCAAGGGCCAGGGGGGTAGCGAATTCTCGTCCTCTCGTGATAGTGGGATGACCTCCAGTCCTCCCCTCTCCTCCTGTCTTCCTCTGGTGGGTAGGGCCTCCTCCAGTTGTTCTGTGGCTGGGGGGGTCTCCATTGGTAGTTGTTGAAGTAAGGAGGACGGGGGAGAAGGCTAGGGTGGGGGGGCCACATGCCATACGGAGGCAGAGGAGGAGGGAGGCCATGAGTCTGGTGGTTCATACCCTTCTGGTGGAGAGGCCTGTAGAGAAAGCGAGAGAGAACGCAGAACCTTCAGACCAACATTACACATATACAGCGCATTCGGAATGTATTCAGACCCCTTGACCTTTTCCACTTTGTTACGTTACAGCTTTATTCTAAAATTGATTAAATAGTTTTTTTCCCTCATCAATCTACACAATTCCCCATAACGACAAAGCAAAAACAGGTTTAGAAATATTAGCAAATGTATTAAAACGTACAAACTAAAATATCACATTTACATAAGTATTCAGACCCTTTACTCAGTACTTTGTAGAAGCACCTTTGGCAGCGATTGCAGCCTCGAGTCTTCTTGGGTATGAAGCTACAAGCTTGACTCCTGCGTTGTCTTGGCTGTGTGCTTAGAGACGTTGTCCTGTTGTCAGAATGGGGCGTCCTGAGCAGGTTTTCATCAAGGATCTTTCTGTACTTTGCTCATCTTTCCCTCGATCCTGACTAGTCTCCCAGTCCCTGCCGCTGAAAAACATCCCCACAGTATGATGCTGCCACCACCATGCTTCACCGTAGGGATGGTGCCAGGTTTCCTCCAGACGTGACGCTTGGCATTTAGGCCAAAGAGTTCAACCTTGGTTTCATGAGTCCTTTAGGTGCCTTTTGGGAAACTCCAAGTGGGCTGTCATGTGCCTTTTACTGAGGAGTGGCTTCCGTCTGGCCACTCTAAAGGCCTGATTGGTGGAGTGCTGCAGAGATGGTTGTCCTTCTGGAAGGTTCTCCCATCTCCACAGAGGAACTCTGGAGCTCTGTCAGAGTGATCATCAGGTTCTTGGTCATCTCCCTGACCAAGGCCCTTCTCCCCTGATTGCCGAGTTTGGCCGGGCGGCCAGCTCTAGGAAGAGTATCGGTCGTTCCAAACTTCTTCCATTTAAGAATGATGGCCACTGTGTTCTTCGGGACCTTCAATGCTGCAGAAATTTTTTGGTACCCTTCCCCAGATCTGTGCCTTGACACAATCCTGTCTCGGAGCTCTACGGACAATTCCTTCGACCTCATGGCTTTGTTTTTGCTCTGGCATACACTGTCAACTGTGGGACCTTATAGAGACAGGTATGTGCCTTTCCAAATCATCAATTGAATTTACCACAGGTGGACTCCAATCAAGTTGTTGAAACATCTCAAGGATGATCAATGGAAACAGGATGCACCTGAGCTCAATTTCGAGTCTCATTGCAAAGGGTCTGTAAATGTAAATAAGGTATCTGTTTTTTTTGTTGCTAAAAACCTGTTTTCGCTTTGTCATTATGGGGTATTGTGTGTAGATCGATGAGGAAAAAAATATTTAATCAATTTTAGAATGAGGCTGAAACGTCATTTTTTGGGGGGAAAAGTCAAGGGGTCCCAATACTTTCAGAATGCACTGTATATAGAGACATAGCATTATGTATATAGGGGTTAGAGGTCAGGGTGCTTACACAGATTGAGATTGGTTGTGGTCATAATGCCTGTCGTAATGTCTGTCGCGGTGGGCAGGACAGTCGAGAATGTTATGCTGACTGCCAGAGCTGCCTCTGATTGGCTCCTGCTCCGACTCCTCCATCCCATCGTTACTGCAGAGGGAGGGAGGAGGGATGGATGAATAAAAGTATGGATGGACAGCGACAACGATAGAGAGACCGACCAACCAACAAACACACACAAATTACCTTCTCTTTGGCCCAGTCTGTAGGTCTTTCAGGTAGTTCCCTCTTTCTATGGAGTGACCCCGCGAAGAGTTAAACACTGAAATCACACAGGGAGAAAAGATTACAAACACATGCATGCGTGCACACACCAATTTTTGAAGGAGGTTCAGTACTCACACTCCACAGCCTCTTTAGGATCCATCCCATCTACATCTATCAGATACCTGAAGAGGAGAGAATGAAAAAGACAGAAAGAGAGCCAGGTTACATACTGTAAGCACATGTAGAATCTACCAGAAACTCCACAAAATCTGCTAAAAGCGCCTTACCTACAGACCAGGTAGCCTGTTCTGTTGAGACCATGAGTACAGTGTACTCCGATCAGCTTATCTTTGAAAGAGAAATAACAAATACGTAACTAACAAGACACAGACAATCCGTTTCACTAACCACCAGTGAAGGTATGTGTGTGTGTGACTGACCGTTGTGTGTGTTGTCTCGTAGGAACCTGCGGACAGCACGTTTGAAGCTAAGGATTGTGGGATCGCTGGGAACTTCATGACCAGCCGTGAAAATCTTCAGGTAGAGCACGGAGTCTGGAAGGTCCTACACACACACACACACACACACACACCCCTCAGGCACTACACTAGACAGTCAGTGATTATGTATGTGTGTGTGTGTGTGTGTGTGTGTACCTCAGGTTTGTAGTAGCGTGTAGTAAAGGTGAGGTCTATGATCAGTCCCAGCTCCTGTCCGTCTTTCTCTATAGTCTGCATCAGCTCCCATGGACCAAATGCCTCCGAACGTTCCACATGACGACACAGGGACTGGAACACACACACCACAGTTATTAGCCTAGTAACTACTAACGCTCCTAGCTACCAGGGATGTATTCATTTGTCGGACTCCGTTCTAAAACGTTTAGTCTGTTGCAGAATGTTTTTGCAACGGAAATCATTTACTCCAAATGGAGAACGTTTTGCAACGAAAACGAGATTTTCTATTTGACAAATTCAGGTAGGTCCCTCCCTGTTTTGTTTGCTCTGTTTGTGTCCTAGAGTAAACGGTTTCTGTTGCAAAACGATTAGCAACAGACAAGACGGTTTTCCACGGAATCTGAATAATGAATACATCCCAGTATACCTATTAAAAACCGCGAAGCAACTAACACCAACCCGGTAACCCAGTGCTTAATCTCTTTTGGACAGACGGACATAACATTAATTGAGGATTTTACGCAATTACGCTAGATTTTAGTTCTGGGTTTCCGAGACTACCCAGTGCTAGACAACACATCTGGGACACACACAGCGAAGTCACTGAACTGCACCAAGTATTTCACATCAAGTACATCGTGGAGTTGAGTGACTTAGCTAACACACACACACACACACACACACACACACACAACTCTTGACTGTTACCGGTTTCAGAGGGACTTTAAAAGCGATGAACCGCGTCCCAGATATAATCTTCCCTACGGCCTGGTAGTCTTCCCATCTGTAGGAGAGAGCGCATGACATCAATATGACAGAGACTATAACCCTGTCCACATTGCCAATTGAGGTCCAGCTCTGGGCTAACATTAGCATTAAATAGTGCATATTTACCTGTCCGGTATCCCGTTTTTCTTGTGAGGCGGCATCTTTTTCTTGGGTTCACTTTTGGGTAAGAGTTAACGTTACTTATACAATCAACATGATCTGCAATAAAATGTGTATTAGCCACTAGCAGCAAAAGTAAAGACTAGCTACGTCAGCTAGCTAGCTAGCGAGTTACATCGGCAACCCAGACGTATTAGAGAAAGGTATCAAAATTGTCTGGTCGGTCCACGGAAGATTAGCTAGCGCTAACTACATTAACTCAAGGCACATTTTTGTTGTAACGTCGTCAACAATTTCCTTACTCACCCCGTAAAATACGAACTCTTCTCAACCGTTAACATAAATCGTGTTTCATTTGATCTGAAAACAGAAGTCAATGTATTTAACCGAAAACAATTTAGCATAAATCGCATTCTACGTTTCTGCTGCCGCGTGTGGATGACGTAAGCAGAGTCTAGTGTATCTCCCGGGCAGAATGTCTCTGGTTTCCCCTACTGGTTTGGATGTGTTATCGCAAGAGAGGAAAACCAATTTAAACCGGAATACAAGCATAGCAGATATTGCTAGACCAATATAGACACAGTCTGTTTCTAATGCACCATCGGGTTGTCAGTCAGTGGTCTGTAATGATACGTTTGAAACCGGAGCTTCGAGGCGGTCGCCGAAATCGCTAAGCAGCTAACTTCGACTTCATTTATGACGTCCGAAGCTTCGTTTGATCACGTGGTTTTTCAAACCGTGTGTTGCAAAACGAGTACAAACAGCTTTCAAACCACCCCACCAACACCGACTATTTTGAAAATTGTTCAATGTGAAGCCACACTTTCTGCACTGTTGTTCAAATAATTTGTTTTATTTAGTCTAGTATAAGCTTCTGTCTTAAGCACCCTAATTAAAGCCATAGATTCCGTTTTTGAAAAATATTAAACTTGAAGGCAAGCATGATGTAGACCTGGTATTCCAACTGATTATAGGCTATTAAAGCCAACGACTTACCACTGCGCCACGGAGTATTGATGAAAATAGTGGAGAAAAACAACAACTGATAATCACCAGCAGATTTCACTAATGTGCATTGTGAACCTCCCAGTAATTAACCGTTTTTCGGCAAGCACCGAAGCCTTCAGAAAGCCTCGGCCTCCCATCACTAGTGGTATGTGTCAGTGACTGTCTGCTCCAGGCAGGTGTGTGCGTCTGTTAAGTCAGTCAGTCATCCGGGGTGTGTTAAATTCACTTTCCTAGAGATGTTCACTTCACATGTGGCGATTATTATGAGGCATTCATAACAGCTCGTAAATACCAGAATAAGACTTGGAGAAATTCACTTGAACGCCACTCCAACTGGTAATTAGTAGTGGGAAAGTCGTTTATCATCTCTGGGCTCCAACCTCTATTACATGCTGAACTCTGACGTCACATACTAAGGAAATTACCTCCATAACAGCATTTTAAATGCAACAACAAAACATTATTTATGAAAAACAATATTAATATGGTTTTTAACACTACAATTTTTTTGCAAGCATGATAGTTGTACTTTTAGTTTATGGTTTAGTTTATCAGCGTTCTCAAGGAGTTCAAAGCACGTGAATGCACACAACTCTTTGCTCCCACTTTACAAGTAGTACTTTCTGAGTATCCCACATGAACGCCGCATTAGTTATTGACTACAAACCTTGAGTACTCACAACCCATCCCTAACAATAAGTCAAAATAAAATAATTACAGCAGTCTGGTCTTTGTGGTTCCTACCCTGTGTGTATGTGAAACCAGATACTTTAAATGTTCAGGCAAGTGATCATAATCTTCGGGCAACCCCCCAAAATCCTGACCTGCCTGATGGGCATGTGCCTTTCAGACCTTGGTTTAATGTCAATCCATGCAGTGATGTGATTTCTCAGAACCATTTACCCCCATTCATATAATGTGACTTTGAGTCCAAGTCATTGTGAAAGTGAAGCTACTGATGACAGTCTGTCGAGCAAGCCTTGTAAAAATGATAGATGAGCTGGTAATCAGTTGTTATAGGCTGTAAGAGGTGGGTAAGTCCAGAGGTGAGCTAGCACAGGTTTTACTGAGCTGGCATTCCCAGTAGACAGGAAAGACCATAGTAGAGGAATGTAAGACGGAATGAGGAAAGCATATAGAAAAGAACAGTTAAGTAATACCAGGAACTGTGATGCAACAGCATGTGATCGTGACATTTTGCCTACAGCCATCCAGGTGTGTTAGTGTCGAGGGCGTGGCTGTAGCCAGTAGCCTACCTGTCTGCCGGTTGGAACAGTGCTCAGCTGCAGTATAAAATACCTAAACACACATGAACCAGACACTCTCAGGCTTTACACTGACTGACACACAGCTCAGGTGGATATTTACCTGCTGGTGGTCTATTCAGGTGGGTTTTACCTGTTGGACCTTACCCCAAGAGGGAAGAGAGCTCACTTCATTCAGTGCTCTGATCTACACTCTTTCTATCACATTGGACTTGTGTACCGCTTTGTGCACAATATAGTGGTACATTTGTCACAGACTCGGACATAAACCCCCAGAGAGCAAGCAGAGAAGACAGGAGCACGGACACACTCCCAAGGGATGGGTAGAAATCTTGAGAGGAACCAGACTGCAACAACTTGACTGGGCCGTTGGTCTCTATATATTTGGACATGCCGCTGTGGAGACGAACAAATGTTGGCGATGAGGAGTGCAACCGGGCCATGCTAGTCTCAGAGTCAAACTTTGGCCATGGGGTACCACTGGGCCAGAGGCCGGGGGCAGAGAAAGACACCCAGAGACTCCACCGTGCCCTGCCAGACTGGGCTACAGTGTGGACATACACATGGACCTTAACGGTCAGGAGATTTACACGCTCTTCAAGACAAGTAACACGCATCTTATACACACACCCCTGCTACAAATCAGCTCCAAAACAATAATTAATACTTTATAACCTGGTTTTATCAATGTTATCAAACTTATCAGAGTTGCTACATAATGTTATCAATTATGGGATGGTCACGGAGTCAACTGCAGCCCAGCAAACAAAACTATTGAAAACGTATACACACACACACACACACACACATACAAACACACTTATCATGTTCTCTTATCCAAAAAGTCATAAAAGTCTATGAAGATCTCAGGTTCTGAGAGAAATTGTCAACTTTTCGTCTCCTGAAAACAGCCCAACCCTAAAGATCCTTCAAAGTCAACTCTGATTGATCTTATTTTAATGCATACACCAGAGAAATATGTTTCTACTGGTGTCTTCGCCCAAGATATTAGTGACCATTGCCCAGTTGTTTGTTTTAGAGATGTGAGAATACAAAAATCTAAGGCTTGTGTCATCACAAAGAGGAACTTAAAAAACTTCAGTGAAAAGGCTTTTTTACACAATCTTTATTTTAGTGAGCTTGATTGTATTTCAGCTATCCCTGAACCTGATTTAGTTTTGAGCCTCTTTGCAGATGTCTTCAATACTATTGTGGAGAATCATGCTCTCTTAAAAAAATGAAGGGTTAAAGGTAGATCGAATTTCTGGTACACTCCGGAATTATCAGAAGTCATTCATAAAAGAGATGAGGCTTGGGTCAAGGCCAGGAACACAGGCTTAGGCCCGGACTGGCAAGCTTTTAAGCAACTGAGGAATCATTGTGTAAAAAAAATCTGAAAGGCTAAATCTGATTATTATGTAACTGCTCTTTCAGATTGTAATGGGAACCCGGCTAAATTCAGGAAAACTGTCAAATCCCTAAATAGTTCTACTTCCCCCTCTCTGCCACAACAAATTAATTCAGACTCTGGCCTCATTACGAAAAGAAATGCATAATTGATGCATTTAATCACCATTTTATTTGGGCAATCTCTTTTAAATAACGTCTAAGCCTATTCACAATATTGGGCTGAATGCTGATATCCAATGCTTTTCTTTTAGGCTATTTACAGAAAAATTACTCCTGGATGCTTTTCTAGCAATATACAACAATACATCTATAGGAGCTGACCAATTGGATCCTGGTCTGCTTAAGTGTGCAGTGCCCATCATTGTTGACTAAAAAAAACACATATTTAATTTAACATTGTTATCAGGAAATATTCCAAAAGTATGGAAATCAGCTCTTGTGCTGCCACTCAATAAGGGCGGGGATAGTAGTGATCTTAATAATTATCGCCCCATTTCAAAGCTTCCTTGTCTAGCTAAGATTCTCGAATCCTTGGTAAATGTACAACTTTGCTCTTTTTTTTAAATCTGAGAAATGTATTTTGAATGCAAACCAATCAGGGTTTAGGGCTGGCATAGCACTGTTACAGCAACCACTTTAGTTGTTTATGATCTTGTCAAAGCTTTTGATACTGTTGGTCATGCTATTTTATTGACTAAGTTGTCCTCGATAGGCCTGAGCTCTGATGCCTGTTCATGGTTTCATGATTATCCTAGTGACAGAACTGCATTGATGCGGTTAAGTCTGAATTTCTTGAAGTGCATAAAGGTGTACCACAGGGGTCGATTTTGGGACCTGTTCTCTTCACTATTTATATAAACATCATTGGTCAATCTGTTAAAAATTGTAAATGTTATCTATATGCAGATTATACTATTATGTATGCTATTGCCCCGACTGTTGATCTGGCTGTGTCAAAACTACAGTCAGATTTTATAGCTATGCAGGAATCCCTTGCTGATTTAAAACTTTTGCTTAATACGGGCAAGACTAAATGTTGTTTTTAAATTCTCGTAAGAATGTTTCAGATGAATTACATGTTCACTCATTAGATGGTTCTCTGATTGAAAGTGTTCCCGCATATAAATACTTAGGCATTTGGATTTATATGGATTTGACGTTTAAAAAAACATATAGATGAGCTGGTTAAGAAGCTAAGATTTAAAGTTGGCTTTTTCTACAGAAACTGATCATGCCTTTCTCCCTTTTTATCGGTTCTTGACTATGGTGATATTATTTATCAAAGTGCAGCTGCTACTACTGCTTCTAAACCTTTGGATGCCATCTACCATAGTGCCCTTCGTTTTGTTACAGGCAACAGTTTTGATACCCATCACTGTATCCTGTATCAAAAGGTTGGCTTGACTTCGCTAAAGACCTGTAGATCTCTACATGACTCCCTTTTTGTTTACAAGGCCCTACTTCATAAACTTCCGTCTTATCTAACTTTGCTGTTGAAATATAGACACCTGAGTTGCCTAACCCGTTCACAGGATTGGTTAACTCTTGAGGTTCCTAGGGTCTCCACCAAGCTAGGTAAATCTGCTTTTAGTTTTAATGCACCGTATTGCTGGAACAAAATTCTAAATACATTCAATCTTGATGTTCTGGTGCCGTTCCGGTAATTTAAAGTATTGATTGGGGACTTATTTGTGGAGGAATGTAACTGTCTTTCTGGGTGATTTGTGATGTTTATTTGTGCTTACCATGACTGTGTTTTTGTATTTTAATGTGTATATACATATACTGAACAAAAATATAAATGCAACATAAAATCATTTCAATGATTTTACTAAGTAGCCATTTTCTTAACTGTTTAGCAGTCTAACGGCTTGGGGGTAGAAGCTGTTAAGGAGTCTTTTGGACCTAGACTTGGAGCTCCGGTACTGCTTGCCTTGAGGTAGCAGAGAGAACAGTCTATGACTAGGGTGGCTGGAGTCAGACATTTTTGAGGGCCTTCCTCTGACACCGCCTGGTATTGAGGTCCTGGATGGCAGGAAGCTTGGCCCCAATGATGTAGCTTGTCTGGTAGGCTTGCGTCACTGGTCAGCTTGTGGCTGGGTTTCCCTTTGTAATCCGTAATAGTTTGCAAGCCCTGCCACTTCCGAAGAGAGTCAGAGCCGGTGTAGTAGGATTCAATCTTAGTCCTGTATTGACGCTTTGCCTGTTTGATGGTTCGTCGGAGGACAGAGCAGGATTTCTTATCAGCGTCCGGATTAGTGTCCCGCTCCTTGAAAGTGGCAGTTCTAGCCTTTAGCTCAGTGCGGATGTTGCTTGTAATCCATGGCTTCTGGTTGGGATATGTACTGTACATATGGTCATATGGTGGGGACGACATCATCAATGCACTTATTGATGAAGCCGGTGACTGACGTGGTATACTCCTCAAAGCCATTGGATGAATCCCAGAACATATTCTAGCAAAACAGTCCTATATTGTGTATAATGTGTATTTTTATATTGTGTTATACAGGGCATATTTGGAAAAGAGACGTAGGTCTCAGTATGTCTTCCCCGTCAAAATAAAGGTTAAACAAATATTGGGGAGGGGGAGGCAGAGGAAAGATACGGTCAGTCATTGATATTTACAATAAAACCACTGGAGATGTGAAATATGTAAAGCGTGCACACAGGATGAAACTATGACACACACATACACACACAGAGAGAGAGAGACATAATGTCCTAGTGATGCATGACACACACAGTCCCGTACACACCTATTTAATAACTACTCTGCAAACACCTGCAGACATGCACACACCGTGTTGTGCCCTGCAGACAGAAGGATGACTGATGGGTTAGCTAATTGTTAGTTGAAGCAGACTCTTTTGAGGAATCACGTGGCACCATCATCACATGCCACAGCAGGGGATATCATTTTCTAGTAGTCTTTCTTCTACTAACCGGCACAGCCAGAGAGGGATGGGCACCCATTGTCTGGTCCTCTCAAGGTTTCTTCCTTTTAGGGAGTTTTTACTTGCCACTGTGCTGCTGCTTGCTCTTAGTGGGTCTAGGCCGGTAAAGCATTTCTGACCAAAAAAATGTATAAATGGATACAATTTGATTGATTGATGTATTGATTGATTGCAGAGAGCGAGCAGCCGGTAAAGGAGTGCTTCCTGGCGGTGCTGTCGCCTCACGGGGAGGAGGGCTGTGTGTTCGGGGTGGACGGAATGATGGTTAGACTGTCCCACATCTTCTCCTGCTTCAACAACACACACGGAGGGAAAGACCAAACTGGCTTACCTGGTTAAATAAAGGTGTTTTTCATGTTCTTCATCCAGGTTAGTACCATCATCACCACACCCACAACAATGAGGTCAGTCATTCAATCAGTCAGTGATATGATAATAATCAATAGTAATCATCTCTCTCTCTCTTGCTCTCTAGGCGTGTCGTGGGGGTGAGCTGGATGATGGGGTGACAGTGGAGACGGATTTAGCAGGAAGTGACATCATTGAGGACAACTTGTCTAAATACCTGTCCATCCCCATGGATACGGCAGTTATGTACGCCACCGCACCAGGTTACGGGGCGTTCATACACCCTCTGGGGGCTGTCTTCCTCCAGACGTTTGCATCCTATTGGAGGAGGAAGGGGGTGTTGCCCTGGAACTGACACGCCTTATGACACGCCTTTCCCACCATGTGGCCTTCTGCTTCCAGGCCAAAGGTTGTCTGCTGGGGGGGGGGGAAAGGAAATGCCTTGCTTGGTATCACGACTGACCAGAGAGGTGTTCCCATTTGCTGAGCTCGGGAAGGAGGGCGGGGCCAATGGGGTTTCTGCCATAACATTGGTCGACCCAGAGTACAACAGACCTCACAAACCATCATAAGCTAAACCCAAAGCCTTTGTTAGATCTAAAGAGAACTGTCTCTCACAGATTGACTGGCTTTACTCTTGCTCTGTCAGCTAGTACGGTTGACTTTGAGTATTGTTGGTCAGAGGGTTGCGAGTTCGTGCCTGGATTGGGATGGAATTTCGACTCTGTTACATGTTCGTGTGCATAAAATAAAAATAACATTGTGATGATCAGACGTGGATACAGGAACAGATCGGGAGGTGTTGATGGTTTCACCATAGAGTAGATTATCATTGCCCCTTTCCTCTACAAAATGATGTCTTAAAATATCCTAGATAATTAAACGTATACTACACGTTATTTGAGTCTTGTTTCTTTCATTAAAATGGCTACCTATCGCTTAGCTTCTGCTGCTATGCTCTTATTTTAAACCATTTCATGTAAGTTGAGTGTGCTAAAAACTAAATTGAGGAAATTGTCTGTTATAAACAACCACATAAATACCTACCACATACCAGGGTTGGGGTCAATTCCATTTCAATTCAGAAAGTACATTGTGACGGCAGGAAGCCTAGTGGTTAAGAGCGTTGGGCCGTAACCGAAAGGTCACTGGTTCGAATCGCTGAACCAACTAGGTGAAAAATCTGTCTGTGCCCTTATCCCTAATTGCTCCTGTAGGTTGCTCTGCTAAAATTCCAATGTTTTTCAATTAGGAACATTTGGTTTGCTTTCTGAGTTGACGCATTGAAATGGAATCGACCCCAACCATGCCACACAATTGATTCATTACTGATAAAATTGTGCTTCTGAGCTCTATCACTTCTCACTCTAAAGATTAATTTACAGTAAAACAGATTGAGGTCATGACTATAAGAGTTACATCTTTAATCATTAAGCCGAGTTCCTTCAGGCAGCAGATCAGACACTGAACTTAAACAGAGTTTAATAGAGCAAACATGTCACAACACAACTGACACCAAACACCTATAACCAGTTTACTGCTCTGGGTTTACCTAGGGCTGGTACAGGGACACCCAAGCTGGTCCGAGCACACACATATCCAGATCTGCTAAGCCCTGCCTAGATTGTAAGACGATTATATAATATTAATTAGTTCCTGAGATATGACTCCTCTCCAGGTATTGTAGTTTTCTGCAACATATTGGTGTTTCTGGAACACACCCAGTTACTGCACTTTGTAGTTTGTTTATTGTAGCAATACAGGTTGAGTTGAGGAAACGTGTTGTTGGACAAAGACCATATCTAAATCTTGTTACTTTTGCTGGTCAAACATTATATGACGTTTTTAAGAAACGACTAGCTTCAATGATGAGATCTATTGAAGTTGCCTTGAGTTCATGTCAAAGACTATCCTACCAAAGGCAAAGACCACACAGGAACAGAAACACACAGATACGGACAAAGATACATTTCAGAAATAAGTAGATGTTTATTATCAACAAAGACTCAGTCATACAGGGGAGAGGGGGGCTTTATAAAAGAATAGGGGAGGGAGGGAGAACTGAGATCTACACTCATTACTACCAATACAAAAATTATTACTTTAATCAATTTTTCTATAAAAAATTTACCTTTACATTTTTGTATTTTATACAAGTAGCAAATTGGACAAATTAATCAAAAAAAGGTAATATTCTACAATACCATTTGACTAAAAATATGTTTAGTTTCATAAAGACAAGTTAAAAAGAGGTGTGGTCAAATATTGACCAATAATTGTTTCATTTTCATACTAATATAAAACCAGTTCTATCTATAAAAAGGTTAAAAAAGTTTATTTACAGACAACAAAAAATAAAAAAAATAAAAAAAGGCAAAAAGGAGTAGGAAAAAGTTGATCCTAATCCTAAGGCAACAGGGGCCGTGTGGTGTTGCAGGCTTTTTTCCCAGCCCAGCACTAGCACATGATTTGGCCAACTAATCATGATCTTCATTTAAATCACTATTCAAATTGGGTGGTATTGCTGGGCTGGAGCTAAAACCTGCTCATCATGTAGCCCTCAAGGAGTTGTTCACCCCTGCCCACAGAGTAGAGAGTACTCTCCTATCCACTGATACAGGGTCAGAGTTTTTCATCCCACCCATGAATATGGATAGACTGTTCCTAGATCTGTGGTTAGGGGTAGTGTAATGCTTATTGTTAGGGCTGGGCTTAGGGAAATCTGATCCTAGATCTGTGGTTAGGGGTAGTGTAATGCTTAAGGTTAGGACTGGGCATAGCAACATTTTATCCTCGATCTGTGGTTAGCATCTTTGGGTTTCAATGATTATTTCTGGTGACGAGGGAGAGAGGCTGGGACTGGAGCATGGCGTGATGGGAGCTCATCGTCGATTGGTGGATGGAGGTGGTAGGGGCTAAGCCAGAGGCGAAGGGGATTGGTCCAGTAAGGATCGGCGGAGTCTGTTTACTGGATGAGCTCATGTGGGGAGAAAAGGGGGGATGAGAGGAAGAGGGGGAGGAAGAGGAGGATTGAGATGAAGTGGTCTTAGGGGTGGGGGGCAGGGGGAGGTGTGTGTGAGTGAACAAGTGTGGGTGTGTGTGAGATTGGATGTGGGTATAAGTCTGACCGTGTGTGTCCCTGTAGGAGTGTGGGCGAGGGGGTTTGGTGGTGAGGGAGAGGGGCTGGACCTGCTCGGGATGTGTGTGCTCAGAGTGAGAGTGTGTGTGTTCGGTGTGTGTGGGTGCGGGAGCAGCAGGGGAGGCCAGAGCAGTGGTGGGCGTGGATGGAGAGTCCAGGGAGGAGGCGGGACTAGCCTGGGACAGGTGTGTGTGTGTCAGGTGTGTGTGTGACACACAGGGCCTCTCCTGAGTTCCATACGACACACACGACTTCTTGGGCTGTGGAGAGAAATGCTCTGGAGAGACAAAATAAAACACACATCAGTCTTTGCTGTTAGTTTCCAGATATGTCCAAAAATATAGTTTGGTCACTTCTCATGTTCTCATCATTCTCTGGTCTTGGAGGTGTTGTGTGTCACTTACCCTCTGGAGCAGCAGACTGGGTGTGTGTTATTTGTCCATCTGGTGCAGTCTCTGGCCTGCCATCTCTCTTCCTCTTCTTTCTCTTCCCCTGCACACAAACAACCAATCACATCACACCCTTTATCTCACAGCAACCAATCCCACTCACTCTCAAAGTAACCAATCAAATCACTACTAAATATTTACTATAGTACTTACGTAGTTGTCTCTAGCTGACCATCCAGGGTAGAGTTGGGAGTGTAGCTGTCTCTCTTTGCGGGCCATATCGTAGTACTTTGACTGCTCCTCACGAGACAGCGAGTGCCACTGTAGACGCATACACACACAGGGTTAACACATACTCCCTTCCGGAGCATAGGCCATCGACAACAGCTTTCAGTATGAACACTCCCATTGTATAATCCCCCAAAAGAATGACAGTGTGCAAGTACTCGCTGCCACTTACCCTGCGTCCCAGTATCTGGTTGATGGCAGCGCTCTCCTTCAGGGTGCACTCTGCCACCACCTTGGGTCTCTGCTCCTTCATATACAGCATAAAGGCATTCAGAGGCTTCTTCACATGGGGCTTCTTCTCCTCCTCTTTCTCTCTGTCCCCCATGGATACACCACACCTACACACACCAGACAGAGAGTCAGTGAGTCAGCAAGAGGTGTTCATGTGTGTGTGTGTGTGTGAGAAAGAGGTGTGTATGCGTACCCGTGATGGTTGCTGTCTCTTGGTTCCTGTTTGATCGCCATGGAAACGATGGCAGGGTGAGGGACAGATGTCTGCAGGGACGGGACCATGTGGGGCGAGAAACGACTGGCCACCAAGCTGTCAATCACACACACAGGTCAATAAGGCATGAATATCATGTTAAAATGACATTGTATTTATTACAGCAGAGGTTCTCAAAGTGGGTCCACGGAGGTACTGCCGGGGGTCCGCGGCAAGATCTCAAAATATATATTTATTTATGATATATTTTTTTATAATGAATATGACTAACAACCGATTAAACACATTTTGGCCAAGGGATCCATGTAATAAGTTGAGGGTGCAATACAATACAATTTTATTAATCTACAATTTATGTTCTTAACCCTGGGCAACATGGACCTGGGAGGCTCACAGCGGGATATTGGTATCCAATATGGTGGTCCTCTGTAGCTCAGCTGGTAGAGCACGGCGCTTGTAACGCCAAGGTAGTGGGTTCGATCCCCGGGACCACCCATACACAAAAATGTATGCACGCATGACTGTAAGTCGCTTTGGATAAAAGCGTCTGCTAAATGGCATATTATATTATATTATTATCCACAGTACTCGACCAATTACCCATTCTCCAACTCAATACTTCTTGTATTTAATTTAAGCTTTAAAAAAAGGCTACATTTTCTCTCTGCCTTATGGCAAATGTGTAGAATTCTAGGATATTAGCTTTAATGCGGCAACACCATAAATCTCTGCCCCATGACAAATTGTGTAGAATTGCAGGAAAAGGGGTCGAGGCCCCAAACAGTTTGAGAACCCCTGCTTTACAGATATAAGTCCAGTCTCCATTGTATGTAGTCTCCAGAGCAGTGATAAGTGGATGTGTGGGAGTGATTAGGTGAGCTGTACCTGGACATAGAAGAGTTCATGGCGAGAGCGGCAGGGTAGGATGGTCTAAACCCCCCCGCTGGAATACCGTACATAGACTGGCCCGGCCTGGAGACAAAGAGAGGGAGGGGAAACAGTGTCACTTGTGTTGCAACAGCATATGCTGTGCTAGAAATTGTTAGCAAAATAAACTAAACCATCATTGCATTTATCATGAGATTGTAAATGAGAGTGTGTATGTGTTTGTGTGACTCACAGCCAGCCCAGAGGGTGTGTCATGTGTCCCATGCCTCCAGGAGAGAGAGGGTAGTAGGGAGAGAGTTCTGCTGGGTGGGGAGTGCGGGGAAGACCTGGAGAGGGTAGAGGGGGCCAGTGGAGAAAGAGCAACATATATATATATATATATCCATTGTTACAAATAGACTAGCGAGAGGGATGAGGAGGTTCCATACCTGTGTCAGGTGAGAGGTGAGGAGGTGGTGTTCGTGGGGGGAAGGGGTCAGGACTGTAGGACAGGAGGGGAGAGAAGGGGGGCAGGTGACCGTGCTGCACCACTGGTACCTTATTGGACTAGAGAGAGGAGAGAGCGAGAGGGATGAGAGTAAGAGATTTGGAACAGAGGAGAGTTTATACTGTCTGGTCACAAGGTGTCACAGTTTCTCCCCTAGGTGGAATTGTCACTACATTGCGCATGCTAAGGCTATACAATAGGGATACAAATATTTTAAAAAATTAGATAGTTACATATCGGGATATTATTTTTGACAATATATCGTAACGTTTTGACAATATCACAATATTTATTTGCCTTATTTGCTTGTTCTCCATCTTTTTAAATAGGAAGCCAATTAGTTTTCAGCACTTTTATTTCCATTACTGACTAAAACTCGTTTTATCATGACTCTCGTCCCTCTGCAGCAGACGTACGGTGAGCAATATGTTTGGAACATCGAATCGCAATAAATCAGTATTGTGAGAATCGCAATACATTTCGTATCGACACCTAAGTATTGTGATAATATGGTAGCGCAAGGTCCCTGGCAATTCCCAGCCCTACTGTACAATGCCTTAAAATCTACATATGAGCCTAGGGGCTAGGGTTGTTTCTGGGCAGGGCCTCTCAGTCTGACTATCAATGACAGGGGGATAAGTCCTCCAGGGCAGAGCAGGACTATCCTCAGATACCCAACACACACACACAGGCACATACTCACTGGAATGCAATCCCGCTAATTTCATACACACTCACTCACTCCACCGGTCTCTGGCTCTGTCTTAGAGACACACACACCACCCGGAGGTGTGAAAGTCCTGTGTCTCTGTGCGGATTAACACTATTCAGCTTGAACATTCCAGTGTCTGTCTGCAGCGAGTTTGAGGGAGGTCAGGAGGGTGTGTGTGAGCCTGGAGAGGGTGAGGGAGGTCAGGAGTCAGGTCACCTGAGTGCTTTGTGTGTATGTGGGGGCACTCTAGGAGACAATCTAAATGGATTATACTAGCAGAGCAGGGTTACAAACCAGGGTAAGTGTTGTAAGAAAGACCAGGTACTTAGCAAGAAGCTAGCTTGTGCAACAGTTGGCCTTTTAGATGGCAGTCAGGATGGGTATTGTCACTGCATGGTTGCTAGATTGTGAAGCACGCACACACAACGGCTGGGCGATATTTTTACGGTGAGATGGTATTTGATGTTTTTGAATAATAAACGTTCTACATTTGATTTATGAGTAGTGCATGACCATAAGGTGGCAACAAATACATTTTGATTTCAATGAGTCTCTCTCTTCTGATTGTTTTATCCTGTTCAATCAACCGCAAATTATTTTCAGCATTTTCATCCATTTCTGCATTTCCTACACTCATTTGAGATCATTTCCTCACTGCCACATAGGGCCGCACGATATGGGCAAAAAACCTATGCCTTATTTTTAACAAAATATTGCAATTAAGATTTGACTTGCAATTTAGATCAAACACTTGGGGGAAACTGTTGGAATCCTGGAAATAGAATGGTAAGTAAGCATTTCACTGTTAGTCCAGACCTGTTGTTTACGAAGCATGTGACAAATACAATATTATTTGATTATTCTAATTCTATAGTTAGAATATAATAGCGGGCACTTCGAATACAGTGTTTGACATGACAACGAATGAAAAAGCCAGGGAGTAGTTATTGTGACAGGGTAGAAACCAAAGTGTTGGTCAGTGTTTCCTAGGGGACCCTATAACCTTTGGTTACATTAAAATGTTATCTTAGCTACTTCATGTAGCTAACATTCATGCTTCGCCTATTCCTCTTTGATTTAGAAGAAACATGCTGATTTAGGCCCACACCATCACTAGTATAAGGCTGTATTAGCTAGCTACATTCGCTCTGACTCAGTACATTTATTAGCTAGCTAGTTAGCTAGCCAGCCATCTAACTAGCGATTAGCATTAGAGGCAAAAACAATTAATTTTATCCACAACATGCTAACACAAAGTAGCTGTTTGCAGACAGTAAGATATACAAACTAAGTGTAATTATAGAACGCTTGTAGATTTATTTTAAGCAAAGTGGAAATCAGCATCGTTGTCATCAACATCTTGTTGCATGTGCTGCATTGACCATGCAAACTGAACGCAACGACTCGGTGCTCCTTGAGTGACAGGGGTGGGGCTTGGTCTGTGTGGAAAGTGGCATGGAAAGAGAGAGAGAGAGAAAGGGAGAGGAGAGAGACCTCTCAAGTAGCGGAGTACACTATAAAAATGGACGCTACACACGGCGGAGTAGCGTATCACATTTAACAAACCAAACACTGAAAAACCGTTATAGAAGGTAAAGTAAAAACCCAAAGCGGTCCGTGCATCAATACCGGTATATAGTCAAACGCGGTATACGGCACAGCCCTAACACACACACACACACCCACCATGTGAGCAGGGGAGGGGGAGTGAGGGTCTTTTAAAGCAGAGGTTCCAGGAACATCCAGCATGGGCCATTTCATCTGTAGATACTGGAGAGAGAGACAGAGAGGAATAGGGAGAGATATAATTAATAGATTAAATAGATTTGAAATAGATTCATAGATTTTTGCAATAAAAAAAGATGGACAAACACGACATATCATGAAATGGGTACAGCTGGGAGGATGTGTGGCTGTGTGTTACAGTGTGAAAGGTGAGAGGGCGAGAAGTGAATTCCGATGACTCTCCACATGGGTCCTGGTCGGATTACTTTCTACAGACATCTGGTGAGTGTATCAGTCAGACTCCAGCTGTACGTCTCTACATGAGGGTTTATGTGTGGGAGCACTTTCGTTGAGAAAAGCAGCGCACACACACACAAACACCAGTGCTTTAAAGTACAGCACAACAGCTCAGTGGTCAGTCACCACTCAAAGGAGGTGAGACAGGAAGGAAGGAAGGATAAGATACAGGGCTAAAAATGGAAGTGAGAGCGAGAGCGTCAGGGAATGTGTTATACTGTTCACAGCAGACCAACATGCTATGCTGAGTCGCTGACTTTCAGTTGTGGAAAAAACAAACCTAGAGCACACGCACGTCATGAATAAGGGTCCCATTGTGTGGCAGGTCAAATAAAACTCAAATAATGAGGACCACAAGAACATAAGTGTTTGCCTGTGCAGGGAGTGTGTTCACTGCACAAGGAGAGAAAGTGTAGGCCCTGTGTGTCTGTGTGAGACAGGGAGGGAGAGTGGGTCTGAGCAGCCCTCCATTCTCTCCATTGCGCCCTCTCTCACACACACAAACATACTCCAGCCTCCACTACACACACACATATATATACCCCCATCCCAAGGCCCCAGGAAGTTCTGGCTGTGAGTTCTAACTGAAACCAGCTGTTATAAATACCATACTGATGAAGCCTACACAACTCTGCCTTTCCCTCTCTTTATCCCTGAACAATCGGTAGTTAGCTGTACAATCATGATGTTACTGCATGGCTGGAGGCTAAACTTACTGCTTATTACAAAACACAAAGACACAAACCACACACACCAACACCCCCCTCCCTCCCTCCACCCACACCCAACTTAATTTAGAGTGATTGGTTTGTGAACGCTATTCACCATAACTGAAAAGGTGAGCACAGGGTTCGACATACAGGACTGCCCGCTGACACGGGGAGGTTTTGGAAAACTTCCGGCCCAGTCAATCATCCATGTCAGCAGGGCTCTAGACAAACTTTTTCCCACTGATGGCACTGGTGCTAACTGTTTTCAGTTGATGGCACCAGCAACTGCTTTGGTCGCACCAATTTGACCTGTGTCCCATAATGTACTGCATTCCATACAGAACCAGGCTAATAATGACTATATTTTAAATTAGCATACCATTGTGTTCTTAAACTGAACAAAAATATAAAACGCAACATGTAAAGTGTTGGTCCCATGTTTCATGAGCTGAAATAAAAGCTCACAGGAATGTTCCATACGCACAAAAAGCTTATTTCTCTCAAATTGTGCACAAATGTTTACATCCCTGTTAGTGAGCATTTCTCCTTTGCCAAGATAATCCATCCATCTGACCGGTGTGGCATATCAAGAAGCTGATTAACCACCATGATCATTACACAGGCGCACCTTGTACTGGGGACAATCAAAGGCCACTAAAACTTGCAGTTTTGTCCCACAACACAATGTCACAGATGCCTCAAGTTGAGGGAGTGTGCAATGGGCATGCTGACTGCAGCAATGTCCACCAGAGCTGTTGCCAGAGAATTTAATGTTAATTTCTCTACCATAAGCCGCCTCTGTCGTTTTAGAGAATTAGGCAATCGGAAACTGTGGGTTTGCACAACAGAAGAACTTCTGCACAAACTGTCAGAAACAGTCTCAGGGAAGCTCATCTCCATGCTCGTCATCCTCACCAGGGTCTTGACCTGATTGCAGTTCGGTGACGTGTCCAACTTCAGTGGGCAAATGCTCACCTTCGATGGCCACTGGCACACGCGAGAGAAGAGTGCTTTTCACAGATTAATCCTGGTTTCAACTGTACCGGGCAGATGGCATACGGCACATACTCACCAGACATGTCAACCATTGAGCATGTTTGGGATGCTCTGGATCGACACGCACGACAGCGCGTTCCAGTTCCCGTCAATATCTAGCAAATTCGCACAGCAATTGAAGAGAAGTAGGACTACATTCCACAGGCCACAATCAACAGCCTGATCAACTCTATGCGAAGTAGATGTTGCGCTACGAGGCAAATGGTGGTCACAGCAGATACGGACTGGTTTTCTGATCCACACCCCTCCTTTTTGTTTTAAAGGTATCTGTGACCAACAGATGCATATCTGTATTCCCAGTCATGTGAAATCCATAGATTAGGGTCTAATTAATGTATTTCAATTTACTGATTTCCTTATATGAACTGTAATTCAGTAAAATCTTTGAAATTGTTGAATGTTGCGTTGATATTTTTGTTCGGTGTATATAGGGCAGCAGCCTCTAAGGTGCATGGTAGAGTAACCGGGTGGTAGCTGACTAGTGACAGTGACTAAAGTTCAGGGCAGGGTACCGGCTAGTGGTGACTAGACTATTTAACAGTCTGATTTGCCAGTTGCCAGAGAGGAAGGCAACCGCTCAGGGATTTCACCAAGAGGCCAATGGTGACTTTAAAACAGTTAATGGCTGTGATTGGCAAAAACTGAGGATGGATCAATAACATTGTAGTTACTCCACAATACTAACCTAAATGAAAGAGTGAAAAGAAGGACGCCTGTACAGAATACAAATATTTCAAAACATGCATCCTGTTTGAAATAAGGCCCTAAAGTAAAACTGCAAAAAATGTGGCAAAGAAATGTACTTTAGGTCCTGAACACAGTGTAATATTTCTGGCAAATCCAACACAACACAACACACAATTTTCAAGCATGGTGGTGGCTGCATCATGTTAAGGGTATGATTGTTATCAGCAAGTTTTTTAGGATAAAAAATAAACGGAATAGAGCTAAGCGCAGTCAAAATCCTAGAGGACATTGGGAGACAAATTCACCTTTCAGCAGGACAATAAAACTAAAACACAAGGCCAAATATCTACTGGAGTTGATTACCAAGACGATATTGAATGTAGTATTCAGACCCCTTTACTTTTTCCACATTTTGTTACGTTACAGCCTTATTCTGAAATGTATTACATTGTTTCCCCCCCCCCCCCATCAATCTACACACCTTACCCCACAATGACAAAGCAAAAATAGGTCGTTAGAATATTTAGCAAAAATATCACATTTACTCAGTACTTTGTTGAAGCACCTTTGGCAGTGATTACAGCCTCGAGTCTTCTTGGGTATGATGCTACAAGCTTGGAATACATGTATTTGGGGAGTTTCTACCATACTTCACTGCAGATCCTCTCAAGCTCTGTCAGGTTGGATAGGGAGCGTCGCTGCACAGCTATTTTCAGGTCTCTCCAGAGATGTTCGATTGGGTTAAAGTCTGGGCTCTGGCTGGGCCACTCAAGGACATTCATTCAGACTTGTCCCGAAGACAGTCCTGCGTTGTCTTGGCTGTGTGCTTAGGATTGTTCTCCTGTTGGAAGGTGAACCTTCGCCCCAGTCTGAGGTCCTGAGTGCTCTGGAGCAGGATTTCATCAAGGATCTCTCTGTACTTTGCTTGATTAATCTTTCTCTTGATCCTGACTAGTCTCCCAGTCCCTGCCGCTGAAAAACATCCCCCCACAGCATGACGCTGCCACCAACATGCTTCACTGTAGGGTCGGTATATGCCAGGTGATGAGCGGTGCCAGATTTCCTCCAGACGTGACGCTTGGCATTCAGGCCAAAGAGTTCAATCTTGGTTTCATCAGACCAGAGAATCTTGTTTCTCATGGTCTGAGAGTCCTTTAGGTGCCTTTTGGCAGACTCCAAGCGGGCTGTCATGTGCCTTTTACTGAGGAGTGGCTTCCGTCTGTCCACTCTACCATAAAGGCCTGATTGGTGGAGTGCTGCAGATATGGTTGTCCTTCTGGAAGGTTCTCCCATCTCCACAGAGGAACTCTGGAGCTCTGTCAGTGACCATCAGGTTCTTGGTCACATCCCTGACCAAGGCCCTTCTCCCCAGATTCCTCAGTTTGGCCAGCTCCAGGAAGAGTCTTGGTGGTTCCAAACTTCTTCAATTTAAGAATGATGGGAGGCCACTGTGTTGTTGGGGACCTTCAAAGCTGCATTTTTTTTGATACCCCTCCCCAGATCTTTGCCTCGACACAATCCTGTCTCGGGGCTCTACAAACAATTCATTCGACCTCATGGCTTGGTTTCTGCTCTGACATGCACTGTCAACTGTGGGACCTTATATAGACAGGTATGTGCCTTTCCAAATCATGTCCAATCAATTGAATTTACCACAGGTGGACTCCAATCAAGTTGTAGCAACATCAAGGATGATCAACGGAAACAGGATGCACCTGAGCTCAATTTCGAGTCTCATAGCAAAGGTTCTGAATACTTATGTAAATAAGGTATTTGTTATTTTATTTGTAATACATTTGCAAATATTTCTAAACCCTGTTTTCGCTTTGTCATTGCCTGTAAAAAATTTTTTAAAATCCATTTTAGAATAAGGCTGTAACAAAATGTGGGAAAGGTGAAGGGGTCTGAATACTTTCCGAAGGCACTACTGTAAATAAGATATTTCTGTATTTCATTTAATACTTGTGCAAACATTTCTGAAAATATGTTTTCACTTTGTCATTATGGGATATTGTGTGTAGATGGGTGAGATATATATTTTTATCCTTTTTAAATTTTAGCTTGTAACAAAACATTTTCAAACAAGTCCAGGGGCATGAATACTTTCTGAAGGCAGTGTATAAAACAGGAAGATCACATTTTTGACTGAACTGGGCCTTTCATTGTTATATTAAGATGCATATCCAAGAGTCCTCCAAAACCATGTGCTTATGATCATATACAGTGAGGGAAAAAAGTATTTGATCCCCTGCTGATTTTGTACGTTTGCCCACTGACAAAGACATCTGTCTATAATTTTAATGGTAGGTTTATTTGAACAGTGAGAGACAGAATAACAACAGAAAAACGCATGTCAAAACTGTTATTTACATTTACATTATCGTCATTTAGCAGACACTCTTATCCAGAGCGACTTACAAATTGGTGCATTCACATGATGTTATAAATTGATTTGCAAAACATGTACTTGGTGGCAAAACCCTTGTTGGCAATCACAGAGGTCAGACGTTTCTTGTAGTTGGCCACCAAGTTGACTGGCTAGGCCACTCCAGGACCTTAATGTGCTTCTTCTTGAGCCACTCCTTTGTTGCCTTGGCCATGTGTTTTGGGTCATTGTCATGCTGGAAAACCCATTCACGACCCATTTTCAATGCCCTGGCTGAGGGAAGGAGGTTCTCACCCAAGATTTGACGGTACATGGCCCCGTCCATCGTCCCTTTGATGCGGTGAAGTTGTCCTGTCCCCTTAGCAGAAAAACACCCCCAAAGCATAATGTTTCCGCCTCCATGTTTGACGGTGGGGATGGTGTTCTTGGGGTCAGAGGCAGCATTCCTCCTCCTCCAAACACGGCGAGTTGAGTTGATGCCAAAGAGCTCAATTTTGGTCTCATCTGACCACAACACTTTCACCCAGTTCTCCTCTGAATCATTCAGATGTTCATTGGCAAACTTCAGACGGGACTGTACATGTGCTTTCTTGAGCAGGGGGACCTTGCGGGCGCTGCAGGATTTCAGTCCTTCACGGCGTAGTGTGTTTTCTTGGTGACTATGTTCCCAGCTGCCTTGAGATCATTGACAAGATCCTCACGTGTAGTTCTGGGCTGATTCCTCACCGTTCTCATGATCATTGCAACTCCACGAGGTGAGATCTTGCATGGAGCCCCAGGCCGAGGGAGATTGACAGTTCTTTTGTGTTTCTTCCATTTGCAAATAATCGCACCAACTGTTGTCACCTTCTCACCAAGCTGCTTGGCGATGATCTTGTAGCCCATTCCAGCCTTGTGTAGGTCTACAATCTTGTCCCTGACATCCTTGGAGAGCTCTTTGGTCTTGGCCAAGGTGGCGTGTTTGGAATCTGATTGATTGCTTCTGTGGACAGGTGTCTTTTATACAGGTAACAAACTGAGATTAGGAGCACTCCCTTTAAGAGTGTGCTCCTAATCTCAGCTCGTTATCTGAAATCTTTCTGAATGGGAGGGGCTCAAATACTTATTTCCCTCATTAAAATGCAAATCAATTTAGAACATTTTTGACCTGCGTTTTTCTGGATTTTTGTTGTTATTCTGTCTCTCACTGTTCAAATAAACCTACCATTACAATTAGACTGATCATTTCTTTGTCAGTGGGCAAACGTACAAAATCAGCAGGGGATCAAATACTTTTTTCCCTCACTGTATTTAGACCAATTCAACTAACCTTTGTAGTTTTTGGTTCTTCGTCAAATATTTGCCAGCCATCAGATAAATATTTATTTTCAAATAACGTGCATATATTCTAATACCTTCAAATATTATTGGGTTTTCTGAGACCTGTATTTGAATATCAAAGAAAATTGTTGCCTTTTAGTTGACATTCTATACAAACTATCTCAAGTTTTTTTTTTAAGGTGGCATTTTAAAATAAACTACTATAATAAAAACTCATATTTTCTGCCCAGGTCTGTTGGGAACACAAAAGTCAACTCCATGTCAGCCTTGCAGACTTTGTGCAACTGACCTCATCGTCCCATGTGAGTTCACTCTTCAGGTCTGTCTCTCTCTCTTTGTGTGTGTGTGTGTAAAGGTTGCAGTGTGTGTTTATGTAAAGTGTGAGGCCCTCTGGCTCGTGTTTACTCCACATTGTCTCACTGGACTTAAAATACCAGGAGAGAAGGCTGTCGACAGCACTAACCTTTACACACACACCATTCACAAAGAGAGAGTGAGAGAGGTAGAGAGACGTGTTAGAACAGTGTCAGTAATCTCTCCACACATCCCCTCCTCAAATTCACTAATGCCTAGGGGTGACTGACAACCAAGTGTGTGTGCTGAAAGCTCACTAAGTGAGTAAAATCAGCAACCTGAGGCACACTTCTGGAACCATCCCCAACACTCCCGTCGAACTCCAACTCAAAAGTGTGCGTGTGTTAAAAGAGGAAAGGGTCCTGAGCAACTCTCCCTGGGGGTTACTATGGGTTACAGTATTCGTGGGGGGGGGGGGGCTCAGGGTTTCCACCAATATCAAGCCCTGATCCTGGAGCGCTACAGACGTAACACCCAGTCCTGGTCTAGAGTGTACCTGATTTCCCCCTTACTGTTTTGGATACCCTTAGAGTTTTTGGTCCATATTTTGGTGAGGGTAGATGCTGGACACAGCACACATGGTGGTTTGCTATGATTCAGCTATTGTACAGTTAACATTAGTATGTAGATCTTCACTCAGACAGAGAGGCGGGCATCTCTCACACACATACCATCTAATGGGGAGGAGAAAGGAGTATCAACCACGGTGCTGCCTAAAGTCAACACAACCTCCACTGTGTGTGTGGTAATGATCTCCTGTGGAGAGCATTAGGTCCATTGAGCTTCTCCGCCTCCTCCTCATGACAACAATAGCTCATTAATACATGGGGAGGGGAATGTAGAGGCAGGCAGGGTTTGCGAGTCGGGGGTAAACATACATGGAAAAAGCAACTACTGCCAGTTGTGTCGAAGATAATCTTTTTCACATCAGAGTAAAAACGCTAACATTCTGATCTAAGGCTTAATGTCTTCTTACACACAAACAGAAAGGATTTAGAGTAGATAAACCCAAATAGGGCCTCAGCCCCAAAACACAGAAAGCAAACAAAAAACAATGTTAACTACAACTAACAGTTACAAATGGATGGTGATGACAGAAATACTGTAGCATCTATCCATTTGTCTCTCTCAAACTCGCACACATTCCTGCATCAGCGTTTTAGCAGGGCGGTGTTGAGGCCTGCTGCCGTAACGCTAGTGTGTTATCATAACACACCATTAATCGTAAGGAGACACATTACACTGCTCAGAGTCAGCGCACACACATAACTCATCATTCACTGTCCCTTATAACACACACAACCAGACATCACACAATAGATACACACACCACCTCACCATACACCACACACCACCTCACCATACACCACACAGAAAGCTATGTTAGTCTAGCGGCCGTCCTTGCAAAAATAATAGTGTGAGTGTGTAATGCATGTTTATGCATGTGTGACTGACTCACCGTCCTGGCCCCGGGTGAGAGGGCTCCAGGAGAGAGGTAGGGGTTGCCAAGGTTTCCCAGGTGACTCAGGTTGGCTAGGTTACCCAGGTCAGGGATCATCAGTAAGGGATAGCCAGCATATGGAGATGCCTTGAACAATCCACTGTCGTGTTGCTGTCTCAGAGCTGGGAAAGAGACACACACACAGAGTTAACTTTAGCAACTGCTGACCCACTGCCTCCTCAGAGCTGGGGGATAGACAGGGGTCAACAGTGCTCATTGAATTGAGAGAGAGAGAGAATGGGATGGTGGGGGAGATAGGAGGGTATTGGTTGTTTCTTGTAAGGGGTGTAAAATGACTTCATTTCAACAAAGCTTATTTAAATGAATGGGGAGATAGAGGGAGACTGGGAGGTAGAAAGAGATATGGAAAGACAATTTAGGAGAAGAGAAATCGTAGGGGATAGAGAGATAAAGTGGGGGAGAGAGGGGGCACTCATATGAAGGATCGGAGGGAGAGCTACAGTTATAGTTTTGTAAAGTTTTAGTTACCTTCTGCAAAGAACTCTCTCTGCCTGACATAGCTCTCCCAATCTGGTCTGTGCTGCTGGGGACGTCTGTGATTGTCTGCCTGCTGACAAACACACACATTGTTTGTCAAACAACACAGTAGATTGGTAGTTAGAAGACAAAGGTTAGTACTGTACTGCAGTAGTTTATATAGTGATTCAATCTTCCGTCCCATTAACGTTAGCTAGCTAGACAAACTAGCTACCTCGGAGTCAGACGAACTGCTGTTGTTCTCTGTCTCGTTGACCAGCGAGGACTTGACATCGTCCAGGTCCCGCTCAGAGGACACATTCTCGGCTGTCTTTTCCTCCTGTTCCCCCTCGTCTTTAAACGAAATCAACTCGTCGTTGGCCCCCAAATCATCCCCCCCTCCTCCGTCCAGCTGCGGCATCTTGGATTTCGAAAACAGTGTTGTCTTGCTGTGGAAGTGCTGTTGTAGCTAGCTAGCTAACATTTACTCCGTTTGGAAAATATCCACAGTTCCAAAAACACCCTCTCAAAACACTTAGCTACCTAGCTAGCACACGGTATTATTTTTCTTTCCACGCTTTCCAATGGTAGTAACGATATTACCCATAAACAAGAGAATAGTTCTGGCAAACCCAGCAAAAATAAGCATTCAACGACTGTTCATTTTGTTAGCTAAAGTAGCTAAGCTAACTACAGTAGCTATTTAGGTAGCTGATTACTTGACTTGTTCCCCGCGTTCCTTGTTGCGTCTTTTGGGATAGAAAAACTAGCTACAAAACACACCGACGAATCCAACAAGTTATATCCACGAATATTTGTATACTGGTGTAAAATAATATATAGTTAGGTATCTCCTCCAACTGAAAGGGAAAACGACAACAATGAAAAGTTGTGCGTCGAAGTTTGCTGAAACACGCACACACAAAAGTTGATCCTGTTTCGCCTCCCCCGAGTAAAATCTGTCCGAAGCGAAGTCAGCTCACCAGCCCTACTTTCTTGCTTATTTCGTCGTCCATTATTGTTAAAAATGAGAAAATGCAATTCTTGCGAGTTCGAGAAGAAATTACTTGCTGGCTGTGTAGGTTCTGTTTTTGTGTGTCTGTGTTGGCGTGGGAAAGAAGAAAAGTCGCTTGGTGTTTCTGAAGTGGAGTGGAAGGAAGAGCTAGGCCGCCGCCGGGAGACTGGGGGAGGGGGTGATGAGACAAGGGGGAGGGGGGAAGGAAGGAGGAGGGAAAGAGGGCGGAAAGTAGACAGCGGGAGGAGGGAAGATGTTTGGGCGGAGAAATGCCAGTCCAGCCATCAATCACGTGTAGGACCCGATCTTTCCCAGTTTATTTCTTTAACTGAAAAAAAATCTTAGTCAGTGGGAAAATTCTGTCAATACGTGTACATTTTTGGTATATCTTTGCCATGTCTGCATTAGTCTGGATTGCACACTGAATATCGCTCAGTTTTGACTGTTGTTTCACTACACTGAATTAGATTGGATTCACATTGGCTATGTGCATATTCATGGTAGTGAACTGAAGAATGTACTATGATGATAATGCGCATGCACCCATCCCGATCATAATCCCACCACCCACCAATGAGTTTAGGAGACAACCCAGTAAGCAAAATGATGTTGAAAAGACATCTAAAAGGCATATTTTCCAGTCATTGAAGTTAGGTTCATTTTAGGTTCAGAATGAAAGGTGAAAATATGTTTTTTCCAGATGTTGAAAATACGTATTTTCCTGACGTTGAAAATATGTATTTCCCGGGCGTTGAAAATACTTATTTTCCGGACAATGAAATCAGGTTAATTTTCTGTTCTGAATGAAAGTTGAAAATAAGTATTTTTCTGAAGTTGAAAATACCCCTTTTCCGGATGTCGAAATACGTATTTTCCAGACGTTGAAATCAAGTTCATTTTCGGTTCTGAACGCAACATTTTTTGTCATTGATTCTATGGCTAAATTTCTACTGCACATACAATCGCAATGAAGTAAGTGTTATATCACAATAATGCGTTTTAAATCCATTTAATATAGGAAAAAGGAGCCAACTGAAGATTGCAACATATAATATTTATTATTGATCCTATCTATCGCATGTACTTATGTTAGCTTTTTTCAAAAGCTTTAAAGGGGGGCAGGTGGGGGGTGAACTTCCTGATTTGGTCTCGTTTTTTGGCCAAAACAGTACACAGTTACAGTAACTCAGCCTTCTAGATAACTTGTAACAGTCTAATCATGTCTTGTGTCTTGAAGTCGCCTAGGCTAGATAGGGCTAGTCAACTTCTTTCGGCAATTGTGACCGTGGCAAAATTGGTTTGACATTGGATAACCTATTTCTGGGGCTAGTTAGGGACTGTCAATAAATTAGATGTTGCACATCTTTTAGTTGTCTCAATAAATGCTTTCAATATTTGTATATTAATTTCTACAATTTATAGTTGGTCTGAGGTTTTTAAGTCCTTGAAATTTAGAGCAATATTGTCCCATGTACAATTTACTGATGGTCCCTAACCAGCCCCATAGTGATATTGAATGTCAAACAAAATTGACAATGGGCATTATGATTGCATGCAGCTGCGCTCCAGATTTATGATTACTTGGGTGATGCCAGCTGTGGGCACGTGGACAGGATTGAAATAAACCCAACCCAAGGAAAACTATTAGAGTACCCTTCATTCCGTGACATACCATTTTTTCCTATCACCTCGCAAATCTCAGTTTTGGACCAGACTGACATTATGACCAACATTATCCTATTTACACTCTATAGTCAATTTTGACACTAGAATAAATGTTTCTGATTCATATCAATGCCACATAGGCCATTGTCAAACTGAGACTTTACTTTTTAGGTGCAGCCGCTCTTTAAAACTGGCAGAAATGATGTTCAAAGTAGTCAACACTTGCAAAGCATACTAGGTATTATTCTGGACCAGAACAAATCTGAAGGAATCACAGACCTCCAGGCTATGTTTCACAAGTTTGAACAGCACAATACAGTACTGCACAGTTCATTACATTAGAGCACAGTAGAGCACAGTATAGTACAGTAGTACGGTACGGTACAGAACACGACAATAGAGTTTTATTCAGTGTAGTAGAATACAGTAGTGTAGTACAGTAGAGTACAATACAGTACAGTACAATATAGTTTAATTCAGTAGAGTACATTAGAGTAAAGTAAGGTACAATACAATACATTATACTGTACTTTACTGTACTGAATTATAATTTTCTTTACTGTACTGTAATGTACTCTGCTCTGCTGTCCTGTACTGTACTGTGTGTGTGCATATGTGTAGTGTGTTTGCTTGTCTCTATGTCTGTCTGTGTGTATTGGTGAAAAGGAAATCCCTCTTTTGTTCCTGAGGAAGCTAGTGTATGTTTAGTGTGTGTGTGCTTATGTGCACATGAGTTTGTATGTATGTGCACGTGTAAAAGAGGAGGCTGAGAGTGGGGAAGGATGTACCATGCTAAATCTGACAGCTGTAGGGCAATGGCGTGTATTCATGGATGCCAAAGGAAGCCAGGCTTCCCAAAAAAATTGACCAAGAATAAAATAAAATGTATCTTTCATCTCTCTGTGTAGAAAAGGCTCTCATTTTTCTAACACTTTTTAGTTAGCTGTCCCATTAATTGCACTTTTTTGTTAACAGTCCCTTTAATTGCAGGCGCCTCTGAGCCATAGAAATGTGTAGAGATCGCTACGTATCAGTCTTCAATGGCACTGCCCATGCTATATAGGCTTTGGGGCACTAGAGATCTCTATACATCTCTGTGCTCTGAGCACACCTGCAACTTATTTCCCTTGTTAAATACCTGAGTTCCTTTGTCTTTCAGTTCAGTGCCAAACAACCCATGCAGTTGTGAAGAGCTCTCCTGTATTTATCATATTATTTCTGTTGTCTGTATTTCACAGTATACAATGTGAGTAACCCGAAATATTATTTACATTTTACTTAGTTTTTCATGTGTATAGTTGAACATTTCAAGAAGCGATGTTGTATAATTAGCGGTAGAATGTTGAGTTGTTGCCACCAGGGGATATGTATAGGAATGTTTGCATATGTATTGAAATAAAATGGAATGGATTATGATTGAAAGAAGAAAATAAACCGCAGCATAGACTCTCTAAAATGCAACCTCAAGTCTCTCTCCTTATCCTCTAACTGGGACACCTGCATCAGCTCCTACCTCACCCAGTGCATTCAAAATAGGCAACCTGCCAAAACACTTTAATCATTTTCCATTAATTCGAAGAGGCTGAATGTATCTCACTGGAGAAAGCATCCGAGCAAGCAAAACAGTGCCCCTCTGTTTCTGTGTGTAGTTCATCTATCTGATGCTGTCTGGCCAAACAGAGTATGACATTGTTGCTGCCAATAGCATTGAATGCAAGGGAAGCTAGGGAGCAGTTGGCCTCCCTTGAATAAAACATTTATACAATAATAGCCAATCAACATTGAGTTAAACTGAGTGTGCTCAACTGTGAAATGTCCTGGCTCACCAAAAAAAGTGTCAACAGAAGCCGATTTGGCTTCACATCAAAAGCCAAACGTCATTGAAAGAACTTGAATTGTTGTGTTTTCTGGTGGCTGGCTAGCTAAAATTGGCCTTATTTATAATTTGGACTTACTTAATTCGCTGCACTGGCCAATGATTATAACAGCAATTCTGATCCAACCATAAATTCATACATTGTGCATCTGGCCTGAGAGGATGCAAGTTCAATATGTAGTAAGCGAATGTTAACTAGCTGGCTAACCGTTTGCTATGAAAGGAAGTTCGGTGAGTGAGAAAGGATTTTAGCCAGGTAGCCTAGGACGATGACAACTTAAAGCGTGTACTGTATGACAGTCATAGACCGTTTCGGCAACATGAGAGGAGGATGGCATTGGCGTTTCTTTACAAGTAGGTGTCGTAACGAGTAAATGCTGGCAATTATTGCTGATGAACAAAGGAGTCCGCTCATACTGAACCTGGATCATAAGATTTATTCATATCACAAGCTTTCAGCATGAGTTACAGACTTGCAGGGTCTGGAGAGCAGTGTCCTCGAATTCTAATGGCTGCTCTGACTTCTACTTCGTCCTGCATATACTTATAAACAATGCAAACAGATGGGTTGCTCCCTCTTCTGGCCAATCACCAGTCTCCCCTGGGGCGTCACCCCACAACTGGCTACTTTTGACCTAACATAAACAACATTCCATTTCTTCATGAAAAACATTTAACAAAGACATAATCCTAATACACTACATTTCCCCCCTTCGAGACTAACTAAAAGTCTCGAAAACAAACAGAATAGGATTATGACCAGTAACAATTTATCTTATTGAGTATCTTTAACATTAAACCAAAAACATTCTCCTCTAGAGTGTAAATACCTTTCTATGAAATATGAATAAATGTTTATGAAGTG